ATCCGTGCAGACAATCTGGAGATAACTTCCAACAAACATCCATCTATCCATACATCCAAACATTCGCATTTATAATCTTAGTAAGATAAGTAAGATTAGCTAAAATAAGTGAGGACGGAGTTTTAACAATGATTTAAGTGCCTTTTTTATAGATTTTGATAAACAATAAATATTTGGCAATACAACACAGTCATTGACCGTACTCTGCCGACCTTGTTGCGTTAAAACGATTGAATCTTCCTGCTTACATGAACTGAATACCAGGGGCACATAAATTGTGAGTAACGACACAAAGGAGAAAACATATATGACTAACTGTCGTCCGAGACTACGTACACGCGTCTTTTAATAAAAAAAAAACTTAATTAGCAGTCTATGTGTTCTTCCAGACTATGTTCTACATATATGCCAAATTTCAATCTAAATCACCTTCATCTTTATAATATTAGTAAGACTTATGGAGCGGTTTTTATAATAAAATATTTATCGTTGGTTTCTGAGACAAAAATCTCTGTATAAAACATATCGTTGTCCCTGTCTTTTATAACAAAGATTTTGGTCTTAGAAACCCACGGTTGAATCATTCCTCTCAACAAAGGAATCTATCGATTTGTAAGTACCAGGCACACATAAGTTCAATGTCTGAGTATACGAAAAACGATTAGGGGTTGTTTGAGTCGAGTTCATTTCAGCAAGGCCAAACACCCTCGACCGTCTCGCCGTCGCATGTCACTGACCTTGTAAGTACGTAGAATATACGATAGCGTCATGATTGCCTGGTACTATAAAACTGGGGATGAAAGTTTTGTCTGCAACTTTTGTTAATAAATCTTACTATTTAAATGGATGTTTGGATGTATGGATGTTTGTTAGACTGAATTTTTACACAGATATAGTCTGGAAGAACACAGGTTACTTATTAAGTTTTTTTTAATACCGCGCGGACGGAGACGCGGGCGACAGCTAGTTTATAAATAAATGCAAACGTTGGATGTATGGATGGATAGCGGTTTGTTAGAAGATATCTCCAAAACAGCAGTGTGGGTCTGGCTGAAATTTTACATAGATGTAAAAAATAGTCTGTAAGGACGCATAGGCTGCTATTTAAGTTTTTTTTGTTTCCACGCGGACGGAGTCGCGGTCGACAGATAGTTTATAAATAAAATCGGGGAGAACATAACTAAAATAAATTATTTAAAACATTGTTTGTACCAAACAAGTAAATACATAAATTAAACATTTAAAATGGAAACATTTTAGAATATCTCCCACCTTTATTTAAAGATTTAAGATGGGATATAAAATAACTTAACTTAGGGTAGGCTCCGAGCCCCTCGGTGGGGACGTATACTGAGCTGATGATGATGATGATGATGATAAAATACCTTATATACTGGAAGAGACAATGCCAAGCTTTCGCTATTACACAAATCTTACTAATATTATAAATGCGAATGTTTAGATGTATGTTTATTAGAAGGTATCACCAGAACGACTGCATGGATCTCGCTAAAATTTTGCATAGATGTAGAACATAATCTGGAAGAACACATCTACAATTTTTTTTATTCCACTTGAACTCGCGGGCAAAAGCTAGTAAATGCATACAGAAAGAAAATTGTAAAACTTTTTCCTTGGCCTGTTTTAACATGCAGCGAAATTTTTGACAGTGGTAGAGCCCGCTTTAATATCTTCACACGAATTGTCCCGGCTCGCCCGTTGAAATACCACGACCACACAGAAGACAGGCGTCAAGTGGAAGAAATTCCAAGTACAGTCTGATGAGTGTGCGTCCCGGAGGCCTAATTTAGTCTTCTTTCCCTTCCCACCCTTTTTCTTATAAGGAAAGGATGGGAAGTGGAAGTGGACTTTCCGGATTCCGGAGAGGATGCATGAAAAGGGAAAATACTTTCTTTCTGTGCATCTTCTCCTCCGTCGATTAAAGGTAGGCAACGCATATGCAATTGCGTATGTCTATGGGCAACAGTCACTTCGCTACCTCAGCGATTTCAGGTAGTCGCAAGCTCGTCTGCCACTTTATGATATAAAAAAAAATCCATGCATGTGGTAAATCTATCAAACACCAATGCATATGTGTGTACATTAATATTTGCTTTAATTCGGCAAACATATGTAGGCTTAAGAATCACTTAAGAATCACTGAAAGTGTAACTTCTTGTTGAGACATACAGTAAAGGTCAATAACCATATTATATTGATAAGTTATCTATATTTGTATTTAAAACTTCCTTATTGTAAGTCAAAAGACCTTCTAGATTATCAGATAAAAATATTCATTGTCATAGAGATTTGCAGAGTTGTGCGAAACAGCTAAAAACATCTAAAACTAGTCGAAAAAATGACTACACTGTCGTTTACGCAGTAGCCAAGCAAGAATATTTGTGTCAATCCCGTCTTTTCAGTAAACTGCGACTCCATCCGCTCGAAATTAAAAAAAAAAACAAAAACTTAATAAGTATAATAACATATTTGTCCTTCCAGATGTTATACATCTATGCTAAATTTCATCGAGATCCATACAGCCGTTCTAGAGATAACTTCTAACAAACATCCATCATCTAGGTATACCGGATCTAATATCCGGACAGACCTGCCAGTTTGACCGGACGAGTAAAAGGCCGGACACCCTACATTACACCGGACATTCGTTTGCGAAATGATAAAGCTAAACACCGATTTTGGCCGGACACATTGGATGGGTGGGCTACACTAATTAAGTTTTTTTTATATATCCACGCGGACGGAGTCGCGGGCGACAGCTATTTTATAACGATACAATAGCGATGGTCACAAATATTCTACTAAACAGCATCGTATTGATTTTTATGTACCAGTTTTTAATAATAATTTCCACTGCTAAATATGAAGGCCACCTAATCATGCCTTATCATCAAGCTATGCCCACGTACATAAGTTTCAATGATAATATCAGCCTATCGACAAATGTTTGAACGTTAGAAGCACTAATGGATAGGCGATTGCATGGAACAGTTTTTATAATGTCCCTTAAACGCGCCTATTGATGTTACGTTATTGTTCTATTATTAGTTCAAATAAGCACAAAATCCTATGACTTATAGCCTATCCATTTATAAAGGTCAGTGATTAGAAAGTAATTCCAGAATGCATGGATCTCGTTGAAATTTGGCACACATATAGAACATATAGGCATTTTCTTTTTTAATTACGCGCGGTCGGAGTCGCGGGCGACAGCTAGTATATAACCTTACTAATAATATAAAAGCGAATGTTTAGAAGGAAGTTTGTTAGAAGGTTTCTTCAGATCGTGCATGGATCTAGGTGAAATTTGACATAGACGTAGAACATAGTGTGGAAGAACACATAGACTACTGTTTTTTTTTTTAATTTCGCGCAGTCGTAGTCGCGGGCGACAGCTAGTTAGTTAAACACGTAGATATTCATGTTTGCCTGGTACCCGTATACCAATAGACTGAAATATGTACATCAATTTAAAACCTAAATTGAATAATAATAGGTCCTAAAAATAACTTGGTAACCAGGTCTTCGTACTACAATTTATCAATTGTAACGAAATTGATACGAGCAATTTAGTCTGCTTGGGGTCTTTTAGGTCACCAATTTAATCTTTATCAAATACTAACAGTTGCCTGCAACTTCGTCCTCACTGAATTAAAAAAAATCTATCATGAAACTAGCTGTCGCCCGCGACTCCGTCCGCGTGAATATATAAAAAAACTTAATAAGTATAGCCTATGTGTTCTTTCATACTATGTTTTATATGTATGCCAAATTTAATCGAGATCCGTTCAGCCATTCTAGAGATATCTTCAAACATTTGCATTTATAATATTAGTAAGTTAAATGCAGCTCTTTAAGGCATAAATTCGATAAAAAAAATGAATAAATAGTATCCTATGTCCGTCTCCTGGCTCTAAGCTACCTCCTCACCAATTTTTAGGCTTATCAGTAAAGCCGTTCTTGATTTATAAATAGTGTAACTAACACTTTCTTATATATATATATAGATTGTCTGTGGTCTGAACAGTGTAGTTTCCTAACAGTGGAAGAATAATTCAAGAAACCGCAATATTTTACTTGTTAATAGAGATTTCTCTCTAACCCGAGTTTCTTGCTTATAGTCATCTTTTGGAACATGACTCTCACTTAAAGAGGTTTCTTGCTTATCCAGGTTTAACAGTATTATTCATATGTTGCAGAACTATAAAATTTTGTAGGTGTAAGAATTTTTTAAATCAGCTCCTTAGTTTTTAAGTATTGTAGACTGTACATTAATTTGCATAAGTAAAATTAACCTGCTGCTTACATTTTACTGTATGCAAAAACCGTGTTACCATACAAATGAGTAATATATTCATTCTATTAAAAATAAAATATCTCCAACTTTTTATACCATTAATAAAAAAAATAACTACACTTAGGTATCTGCTAAAGTAATGATTACATTACCCTGAGTATGGGACTATGTGTGAGACTATATAAATGGTCATTTAAAATATTTAAAAAAAAATCTTCATAATAATAATATTTTTTTTATCTGTGACATAATTGTAGCATAAATTAAAAACGACTTTTGCTTATGAATAAAAAAAAAATTGTTTGTCAAACAAAAACCTCCTTCGATCGATATTCAAAGTACCAGGCGAGCAGAAATAAAGAGAATGTCGAATATTGTTTTTTTTTTAAGTTTTACCACAATCATGCCAATAGAAAACAGGTTTTAAAAGGATTTCTCTCACAATTAAAAGCTAGTAAAAACAGTGTGAGTCATTAAAGATCGGACTATATTTCGCGACGTAATATCTATACTTGCAAATCAAGGACATAAACAAAGACATCTGTTGTGAAATGTTTAACTGCGTAGTATCCATAGATTGCATTGTTGATTACGGAAACGCAGTTACCATCCTTGATACGAAACTTGTAAATCTAGTTTCGTCATACTTTTTTATTGTTTATTTACGAATATAAAAACTTACCGCTCAAATCTTCGATTGTGTTCAACTTGCGAGCAGCCATTTTCGCAAATAAAATAGGCACAGCACTTGATAATGTTAGTATTCGATTATTTTACACTGTTTAAAGGATGTTTTCGAATATTTTCGCGGAAATAGACAGTTGGATGTCCAACAAGCGACTTCTATCAAAAGCCACCAAAAGCCTTTGTTTTCTGTTTTGATTTAGAATTCGCTTTGTGACAGTAGCGCATTTCTCTTTTCCCGTATGATTATTCTTAACCAATAGCAGTCGACTACGCTATCCAGTGCTATCTTTTGATTGGATAAGGATTTGTAAACAAAATGTAAATTGAAATGTTGCTAGACACACAACAAAAATAATCTAATAATTTTTTAGGGAATTAAAACTGTTCAGGTAAGTATTTAGGAAATCTTTAAGAGATTTACTTTTATTTTTAATAATTGCAAAAAAAAACCTAGTCTAATTACCCTTTAACGATATAATTTCTGTTTAAAATATTATTTAGTTTTAGCAATCACTTTGATGGAGTAAAATAACATAAAACATCAAAATGCTCATTAGGATTTTAATATGTTGTCTTATAAACAAAGAAATAACATGGGGCAGGTAGGATAATCTACATAACATTTACCGGAAGGAAAAAGAAAAGTGTTTTTTTAGTATTTGCCTTTTTATTTGAACTTCGTGAAAAGAAGACATATTGGTGTAAAAGATAAGTTCATTATATCGTATGCACTTATTTTTAGGCAAGCTAAAATCTATATTTATAATTGTAAGTCCTTACAAACCATCACAAAACAAAACATAGTTTTTTTTTGTTTTTCGTTTGGAGGTTTGGAGTTGGGGTCGGTTATTAAGGGCAACACAATTTCTCTATTTTTTTCAATGTCAAAATTAAATCACATTGTCTATTCCTCTTGTTCTATTTTTCTTTGCAATTTTTGTGATGACGTTCTTGCACTGACCGCTCCGTAATTAATATTAATTAGTAATAATCCGCGATGAATATCAATAGTTTAGAAGATGATAATAAAATAACATCGAACCTTGATGAAGTAAATAGTCCTAGGTAAGTGGGTTTATTTCATCTTTTTATACAAAATTCTCTACCTACATGACAGCTGATTTTGAGCGCCAAAGTCAAATGGCGCCAATTCTCATAACGTGTCAATTTTGTTCATCTTCATTTTTTAGCTTCCTAACGGTACAATAACTGTATTTTACAGGAAGAAATTGCGTTTGGATAACTCGGCGCGTAAAACTTGGAGCCTAATGGATATAAAAACGGATCAGGAGGTAAGTTAATTGCTGAATTCCCGTAATACCGACCCTTCTTGTTAATTCGTTTTCTTGTGTTAAAACGCTTATTGTATAATTATAATTTAACATTATACTCTATTAAGAAAAGAATAATAATAACTTTGATGTAGTTTTGTATAAAAATATTGTAAATAAATCCACGAAACAACATTCAAAATCAAAATTTCAAAAGAGGTTGTAAGGTGCATGTTTTAATCTGTGTTTTATTAAATACGTAACAAACATATAAATTAACGAAATATGACTTTAGTTTGCTTCTTATAACTTTAAAATGTCAAAAAATTTTGTATAATTCCATACTAAGAATACAAAAAAATATAACTATAAGTCAGATGTGTTACTCCAGATAGATTTCTCACTAAATCTCCTCTAAAAACTGTCTCAGCTACTAAAAAACTTGGAAAGTGGCTGTAAATTCTTTAGAGAAGTATACTTGAGAAACTAGCTGTCACCTTCTACTCCATCCATGCAGTATTGAAAAAAAAACTAAATTAGTAGGCTATCTGTTCCCCCAAACTATGCTCTACATATATGTCAAATTTCATAAAAATCTGTTCAGATGTTCTGGAGATACCTTCAAACGTCCATCTAAACTTTCGCATTTATAATATTAGTAAGATTAACTTTAGTATTGAAAAAACTAGTAATTAATATGGCCTATGTTACTCAATAACATAGCTCTCTAAAGACTAAACAATTGAAATTAGTGCAGTAGTTTTTTAATTGAATCTTTACATATAAAAATACAAATCTATCCTCTTTACCTTTATATATATAATTCTTCTGTGAGTGTGTATGTCACTGAACTTCTCTCAAATGACTGGACCGATTTTGATGAAATTTTTTGTGTGTGTTCAAAAGGATCTGGGAATGGTTTAGATTCACAATTTTCATCAAATATTAACTTCATATTAATTTATTCGAATTAAAGATGTGTAGACAGGACGTCTGTCGGGTCCGCTGGTATTAGTATAGAATATAAGATAAGCTCTCAAAATGTCTTAATTTTAAATGAAGGTAGTCAAAAATATGCATTGTAATGTCTTAAATATAATTGAATTTAAAGTAATTTATAATCTCATAAGTTTTTAGTGTAACACTTTGTTTTTTCAACATAAGCAAAAATAAATCAAAACACTTAATATAAAAATGCAATTATGCATTATATTCATCTACTTAGTTACCTGTGTCTTAGTCAGGATGAAATTAAGGAAAAATTTAATTAGTCTATGTTATTTCTAGACTATGTTCTATATGTATGACAAATTTCATCAAGATCCATACAGCTGTACTGGAGATATCTTCTAACAAACATATGTCTAAACATATGCATTTATAATATTAGTAAGACTAGATGTCAACATTGACTTCCTATGTACAGAATAAAAAAAAAAACTTAATTAGTCTATGTGTTCTTCCAGACTATGTTCTATATGTATGACAAATTTCATCAAGATCAGTTCAGCACTTAAGATATGTTCAAACAAATCCATCCACCATCCAAATATTCGCATTTATAATATTAGTAAGATTAGATGTCACCATTGACTACCTATGCAAAGAACTAAAATAAAAAAAGATATGTTTAGTAGCCTATGTGTTCTTCCAGACTATGTTCTTGCTTTGCAGTTCAGCGAGCTGTGAGCTGACAATTGAACTTTGAACCGGTTTATACCTGATTTACATATGTCTTATTTGTTATTTCTTTAACAGGTATTACAAGAGATGGGTGTTAGTCTTTTAGAACAGGATGAAACGGAGAATGCATGTGAAGTAACACATATTATAACGGTATGTTCATATTCAGCTTCGGTGGCTCAGGGGTTAAGCAGTTGACTTGCAATCTGCATGTCCTGTGTTGTAATCCCGTGATGTATGAATGTGTTACATTTACATATGTACATTTATCCTATGTTGTTACGGTGAAGGAAAACATCGTGATGCTGCACATATCTGACAAACTCAAACATATGTGTCAAGTCAATCTGCACTTGGCCAGCGTGGTTGACTATGACCTAATCACCCTTAACTTAGGGTAGGTTCTGAGCACCTCTACTATATCTACACTGAAGGTCTCAGAGTGTACCCTAAGTGAGAGTATGTGATAGTGAATGCTGTTCCAGTGCAAGACTTGACACATATGTTTGAGTTTGTCAGATATGTGCAGCATCACGATGTTTTCCTTCACCGTAACAACATAGGATAAATGTACATATGTAAATGTAACACATTCATACATGACGGGATTACAACACAGGAGCATGCAGATTGCAAGTCAACTGATTAACCACTGAGCTAGCGATGCTTATCAAATATAAATTAACCTTCAAATTATAATTTCTTCTAATAATATTTATCAACAGCACAAACCAAATTTAAAACGCAAGCATGATATAGAAAATGTGAATCCAAATATCAATAGCTCTTCACCGAGGAGTAGGCACAGTCCAAAGAGTCCTAAGGTCAAGAAATCCAACATAAGTCCCGGACCTTCTAAATCTAAAAGTCCATGGAGCCCTGACAAGAGTAAGTATATCTTACTAATATATAATAAATGGTTAGATATATGTTTGTTAGAAGTTATTTTAAAAACTGTTAATTTTAATCATCTTTCACATACCCTTTTTTGTATAAGAAAGGGAAGGGAAGTGGATTTTCCTGATGAGATTTTTTTTTTCTAAAATATTAGCAGTTTTTTTTTGTAAATTTACTAATGTTTCTTTAACCATTCCAACTAAGCTTTGCTTGTGCTAGGATATGGTTTACGACAATAGTCGAATGTCAGGATTCGAACCCTCGACCTCGTGGTCGGAAATCCGTACCCTTAACTATTAGGAGATGCATGGGAAGGGAAAATATTTTCTTTCTGTGCATTCTCTTTTCTGTCGATTAAAGGAAGGCAACGCATATGCAATTGTGTATGTCTATGGGCAACGGTCACTTCGCTATTTCAGCGATTTCAGGTGGCAGCTCGCTCGGGAGATAATTTTTTCAAACGAATGTAATATACATTCGTTTGAACGCAATATTTTTCTCGCTTATAGAGGTGTCTAGAGAAACGTAATAAAGGGTTAGAACCCGTTCCTTGCTTTCTGTTTTCTGCTCATGGAGGTTGTCTGTCTGGACAATCACTTATATTTGCCTCTAACCAAAGTTTCTCGCTTATGGAGTTAAACCTTTGGGACAGACCAATGACTCTCGCTTATAGAGGTTTCTCTCTAAACCCGAGGTCCGTCGAGACATGACTATGGTTCCTTGCTTATACAACTGTATAGTACTAGTTGTCGCCCGCGACTTCGTTCCACGTGAAATTAAAAAACCATAATGAGTAGTATATGTGTTCTTCCAGACTATGTTCTATATGTATGTCAAATAACATCAAAACCTGTAGCCGTTCAAAATCCATCCATCCAAACATTCGCATTTATATATTTTGATACATTGTTTTATTTCTAGCTAAAAACGATTTGGAAACAACTTTACTATCAAATTATCTTATAGAAGAAGAAACCCCGTTGGCTCAGATCACACAATACCAGCCACAGGGTTCCGGGTTCAATGCTAACACGTCCACTGGAAAGAAAAGCTATACACGTGAGTATTTACATTGTTAGTACCGTCATTTTATAAAATGACGGGTAATTTGTGAGATGAGGAATAATTTTAAGTCAATTAACTTCATTCTTTGTTTGGTTTTTATTGCTTTGTGATAAAATTGTAAGTCAGTTTATAAACTGACGATTATAATATTGTCGAAAAAATATGACTTTAACTAACTTTAGTTATTTAACTGACAATTGCAAACTGATAAAAATATAATCGAACCAAGAAGAGCGAGAATCTCGCTTATAGAGGTTTCTCTCTAACCCAAGTTAGGTTAAACAGTAAAGTTAGTTTTAACAGTGGTAGAGCCCGCTTTAACACGTTCGCACCAATTGTCCTCGCCCGGTGAAATACCACGACCACACAGAAGACAGGCCTCAAGTGGTAGAAATTCCAACTACAGTCTGATGAGTGTGCGTCCCGGAGACCTAATTTACTCCTCTTTCCCTTCCCACCCCTTTTTCTTATAAGGAAAGGATGGGAAGTGGAAGTGGACTTTCCGGATGAGAGGATGCATGGGGAAGATATTTTCTTTCTGTGCATCCTCTCCTCTGTCGATTAAAGGTAGGCAACACATATGCAATTGCGTATGTCTATGGGCAACGGTCACTTCGCTATTTCAGCGATTTCAGGTGACCGCTCGCTCGTTTGCCATCTTATGATATAAAAAAAAAAAAAGTTTCTCAAGTACTTAAAGTTACATACATAAAGTGACTAAAAGTTGGTTTCTGAGACTAAAATATGTATAAAACATATTTCCTGTCACAATTTCATACATAATAGAGATGTATGGATCAGAAACCTACAGTTAAGTGTTATCTTCTAGAAGCTTCTTTATTTCCAGCACTAGGTCTAGAAGAAGAATTAATAATAAGCAGAAGAACAAAATCGGAACCGACAGGATGTGATACATTCTCAGTGTTGTCCGATGAGATGATATTGAGTGTGTTCAAATGGTTACCTAAAAGAACTTTAGCGCATTGTATGTTGGTTTGTAAGCGGTGAGTTAATGTTATACTAGCTTCCCGTGACTTTGCGTGAAATTTAAAAAAAAAATCATAGGAAAAAACTATTTTTTTTTTGTTTGAAAAATCACGTTTCGTATTCATTAATTTAATTCTAAAAAAAAATTTATGGCACTGTGACATTTTTTACATAAACTAGATGTCGCACGCGACTCCGTCAGCTTGAAATTTAATAAAAAAATATAGTTTATGTTCTTCCAGACTCTATGCAGATTCTATTCAGATCTATGCAGCTGTTCTGGAGATAACTTCTAACAAACATACATCTAAACATTCGCATTTATAATATTAGTAAGATATGTGCCAAATATCAGAGAAATCCATACAGATGTTCTGTATCCTATACTACAGATTCATCTTGATGAGCGAGAGTCCAAGAGACCGCGTTTTTTCACGCTTATGAAGGTTTCTCGCTTATAAAGGTCGTCCTTCGGGACCTGACAATAATATCTTTCTTACCAGACTCTGGAGATACCTTCTAACAAATGTATATATATTTACTGGCTTTCGCCCGCGACTTCGTCCGCGCGGGATTATAAAATAGATGTTGTCCGATTCTCAGAGCTACTCAATATGCTCACAAAATTTCATGAGAATCGGTCAAGCCGTTTCGGAGGAGTATGGCAACAAAAATTGTGACACGAGAATTTTATATATAAGATATATATATACATACACCATACATCCAAACATTCGCATTTATAATATTAATAAGATTGCTTCCATGTTTTTTAGGGTTCCGTACCTCATAGGAAAAAAAACGGAACCCTTATAGGATCACTTTGTTGTCCGTCTGTCTGTCTCAAAAAACTTTATTTTTTTTTATTCATAGACACAATGATTTTTACAATTTTCAGATGGTACAGATTGGCATGCGACGAAAGTCTATGGCAACGTCTAGATCTAGGCAACAAAGTGCTCTCTAAAGACGCCCTAGGCAGAGTACTAGCTAGGAAACCTATTATAGTCAGACTTGCAAGTACTGAGGTAAAGATAAAACCATTTTTATATGTATTTAAATTCTATTAATCAGTTTTTATTTCATATTTAACCACAAATTGCATGAATTATGATAAAAAAAAAATGATTTATATACAAAATATATGTTTATTTAAAGGAATATTAATATCTTAAACCTAAGTTTTTCAACTTTCGATAAGGAAATAAAACTTAGCTAAAAATGTCTCCAAAGCAATAAAACTATGCCTTCATTTTCACTAAGGAATTAAGATATTAGTAATTATAATAATGACACTCCATGACATAAACTAGCTGTCGCCTACGACTCCGTCTGTGCGGAATTAAAAAAAAACATAATTATGTGTCCTTCCAGACTATGTTCTATATGTATGACAAATTTCATCAAGATCCGTTGAGTTGTTCCGGAGATATCTTCTAACATACATCTAAACATTCACATTTATAATATTAGTAAGACTTCATCATCATCATCAGCTCAGTGTACATCTCCACTGATGGTCTCGGAGTCTACCCTAAGTGAGAGTATGTGATAGTGAATGCCGGTCCAGTGCAAGACTTGACACATATGTTTGAGTTTGTCAGATATGTGCAGCATCACGATGTTTTCCTTCACCGTAACAACATAGGATAAATGTACATATGTAAATGTAACACATTCATACATCACGGGATTACAACACAGGAGCATGCTGATTGCAAGTCAACTGATTAACCACTGAGACATTTATAATATTAGTAAGATTTAAATTATAAATTATTTCCAGATAGGTGAATGGCGTCCTAGTACAACAGTAACACAATCTAGAATACAATATCTAGACCTAAGTATGTGCTCAGTGGACCAGCAGACCTTGGACAGTCTACTTGAGAGATGTTCATCTTTAAGGAAACTCAGCTTGGAGAGTGTTCAACTGAATAACAGTACTTGCACAATTATTGGTGAGTTATACTATTTTTTTTTATATCATAAGGTGGCAAACGAGCGAGCGGCCACCTGAAATCGCTGAAATAGCGAAGTGACCGTTGCCCATAGACATACGCAATTGTATAAGCGTTGCCTACCTTCAATCGACTGAGGAGATGATGCACAAATGAAAACATATTCCCTTTCCATGCATCCTCTCATCTGGAAAGTCCACTTCCACTTCACATCCTTTCCTTATAAGAAAAAGGGTGAGAAGGGAAAGAGGACTAAATAAGGCCTCCGTGACGCACACTCATCAGACGAAACGCGGAATAGCTTCCACTTGACGCCTGTCTTCTACTACTAGCGTTTACCCGCGACTCTATCCGCAAGAAATAAAAAATTATTAGCCTATGTATTCTTCCAGACTATGTTCTATATGTATGACAAATTTCATCAAGATCAGATCACAGTATTAGTATATGTGAGGTTTATGTTTGTATGTTTTGTTGTATGTATTATAAGTTTTAGTGATAAAAGTAGAGCATCGATGTCTCAGTGGTTAAGCAGTTGACTTGCAATCAGCATGCTCCTCCACGGTGAAGGAAAACATCGTGATGCTGCACATATCTGACAAACTCATACATATGTGTCAAGTCATCCACTGGATTAGTATTCACTATCACATCACTTATAGACTCCCGAGTGAGATGATAATATAAGTAGCCTAAATTAAAATGCTATCCAAAGATAGAATTTCATGCGGACGAAGTCACGGGCGACAGCTAGTAATTAATATTGTTATAGGTAAATGTAAGAACTTGGAAACATTAAATTTGACCATGAGCAAAGGTATTACATCTGAAGGTTTGCAAGAAATACTAAAAGGATGTGTTAGGTAAGTCAAAGTTGGATGAATTTGTCTAAGAGACTTCAATTTTCTCGCTTATAGAGGTTTCTCGAATTTAATAATTAAATCTTGTTCCTAGCTTATATAGCTTTATATTTATAAACAAACAAAAAAAACTTAGTCTATATGTTCTTCCAGACTATGTTATATATGTATGACAAATTTCATCAAGATCTGTTGAGTTGTTCTGGAGATATCTTCTAACATACATCTAAACATTCGCATTTATAATCTATATATATAAAAAATCAATTGCTGTTCGTTAATCTCGCTAAAACTGGAGAACGGCTGAACGGATTTATCTTATCTTGGTCTTAAAAAAAGTGAGAAAAATTCTAATAATTGTCTCGAACTTATTAAGTTTTTTTTTCATACCACGCGGAGTCACGGGAGAGAGCTAGTATTATTAATATTAGTAAGATAAGCTTCATTTCCCGGCACAGTGTGAACGGACCTTTAAATATTATGTTTCAGTCTACTATCACTGAACATATCTTGGTGCAATCTGAACCAGGAAGCTTTACAAGTATTAGTCAGCTGTCTACCGCAGAAACTGCAGCGACTGAACATCGGCGGTGCTAGGATTATGACTAATGATAGTAAGTTTCATTGTATTAATGTTCAGCAATTACTGAATTTTATAAAACTGTTCAGTATTTGCTAAAAATACATCTATGAGTATATATTTTGATGGAGATGAATTGCTAATGCTAATTTAAACGTTCAGCGATTACTGAATTCATTAATAACGTTCAGTATTTGCTGAAAATACAACTATGAGTATATATTTTGATGGAGATGAATTACTAATGCTAATTTAAACGTTCAGCAATTACTGAATTCTTAAATATCGTGCAGTAATTGCTGAAAATACAATTACGAGTATACACTTTGATGTAGGCAATGTTATGTTTACTAATAAAAATGTTCAGTAATTACTGAAGCTAAAACTTTACTAAAAAGAGAATTATTGATGTTAGTTACACCGTTTAGTAAATACTGAAAATATAAACATAAGTATAGAGATAAAAATTAAATTCCATTTAAAATGTATTTCTGCTTATATTATATATAAGTAACTGAATGACGGAGTTTTGCTTGGTTTTTTTTTTAAATTGTGTTTTTTGGAAATTATATTATATTTAAGTAGGAATTACTAATAAAATGATGAAATATGATTAATATTTTTCCATCTTATCTATAGAAAAAGTTAAGTTTAAATTGATTATCGATAAAACACGAATAAAATGACATTTTTCTAAAAATGATTCCTAGCTAGATCGATTTATCGCCTCCGAAACCTCCTATATACTAAATTTTATGAAAATCGTTGGAGCCGATACCGAGATTCCAATTATATATATACAAGAATTGCTCATTTAAAGATATAAGATATGGAAGCCTAATTTTAATCCCCTTTCCCTTCCCACTATTTTCTCATAACTATGAGAAGGGGAATTCGCCATTTCATCGAATTAATTTGCCTATGTTTATTTCCAGTGGTACAACAATTAGTTGAGCGATGTCCTAGGTTACTAGAACTAGATTTATCTGACTGCTCCCAGTTGTCAGCTGCTGCTGTTAAGTCTGTGCTGAATCTATCGTGTTTGGAGCATGTCGCGTTCAGCAGATGCTATTTGCTGCCACCGCATGTACTTACGTGAGTATAATCACACTATGACACTCTTTAAATGTCAAGTTTACTAACGTAATATGTATTTCAAAATAAATACTATGACACAAATCATATGACACCCACAATATTTTCAATCAGTTGTACTAACACTATGACACTCTTTGAATGACACCACGATTTTCAAATCAAGTTTAGTAACGAATTATAAAAACATAAATACTATGACACTCTTAGAATGACACCAATTACATGACACTACAATATTTACAATCAGTTATACTAATATTATGACACTCTTTGAATGACACCACGATATTTAAAATCAGTTTTACTAACAAAACACGTATAAAAACACTAAGACAATGACACTGATATTTAAAACAAGTTTAATAACGAATTATGTATACTGGCATTAACACGATGACACGCTTTGAATGACACCACAATATTTACAATCAGTTGTACTATCACTATGACACTCTTTGAATGACACCACGATTTTTAAAACAAGTTTACTAACGAATCATAAAAACATAAATACTATGACACTCTTTGAATGACACCCAAAATATTTAAAAACAGTGAAGAATAAAGCGCCAATAGTGTAATGGTTAAATGTACGGTTTTCCGATGTATTGAAGAGTTCGAATCCCGATATTAAACTCGTACACCGTATTACACAGAGCTACAGCTTAGTTGATATAAGAAATATTAATAAACTAACTCTTACCCGCGATTCTGTCCACGTATATAAAAAAAAAGAAAATTATTAGTCTATATGTTCTTCCAGATTATGTTCTATATGTATGTCAAATTTCATAAAGATCTGTTGAGTTGTTCTGGAGATATCTTCTAACATACATATAAACATTCGCATTTATAATATTAGTAAGATTCTTATCCTCATTACTGCTACCATCAGCTCCAAAATGGTGAAAATCAAATAGGCACAAAATATTAAGTATTATAACCTGTCCATTTATAGACAGTGTAGCTTCAGTACGAAAAGAATCTTTGACAAATCTTTGATATTGACAAAACACTAGTGGTCTTACTAATATTATAAATGCGAATGTTTGGATGTATGTATGTTTGAAGGTATCTCCAAACTTAACAAATCTTGGTGAAATTTGTCATACATATAGAACATAGTCCGGAAGAACACATAGACTACTAATTAAGTTTATTCAAGCGCGGACAGAGTCAAGGGCGATAGCTAATCTGTCATAAAACTTTCATCTTAACTTTTGTTATATAATTTCCAATAACTTTGGGAGATTTCTCGGAAGTAGGATAGCCTATCGGGTTAAATAATTTCGTCAGATTATAAATAAAATTTATATTAACAGCAAATTGGGTAGTATGTCTTCTTTACAATACCTCGAGGTATGGGGTATGCTACAAAGTGGATCACTAACAGCACTCCGAGCTGCACTACCCGGGATGCAGATCAACCAATTTATGTTCAGGTAAGTCAGATTGTAAACTGACAGACGCAACATCTGTGCGGTAGAAAAAACTTAGAATCCTGTGTGTTCTTCCAGATTATGTACATCTATGATTATCATAAAGACCCATTGAGCTGTTCGGGAAGGAGAGTTGATAGCTCAGTGGTTAATCAGTTGACTTGCAATCAGCATGTCCTGTGTTGTAATCCCGTGATGTATGAATGTGTTACATTTACATATGTACATTTATCCTATGTTGTTACGGTGAAGGAAAACATCGTGATGCTGCACATATCTGACAAACTCAAACATATGTGTCAAGTCAACCCGCACTTGGCCAGCTTGGTTGACTATGGCCTAATCATCCTTAACTTAAGGTAGGCTCCGAGCTGCTCGGTGGGGATGTATAGTGAGCTGATGATGATGATGAGTCAGTTCCCGGAGATATCTTCTAACAAACATCTAAACATTCGCATTTATAATATTAGTAAGATCTATCATCTTACTTATTACTAATATTATAAAAGCGAATGTATGGATGGATGTTTGTATATGTTAGAATGTATTTCCGGAACATGAACCCCATGGATCTCGCTGAAAGTCAGATATAGAACATAGTCTGGAAGAACACATAGACTAGTATTAAGCTTAATTTAATATCGCACAGTCGGAGTCGCGGGCAACAGCTAGTCCATAAATATTAGCATAAAACAACTTAAAATTTCTATATTTAGGATAGTTTTTAGACATTTTTTTTTATTTCATTTCCACAGTGCTATAGCTAGACCTACTGTTGGTGCAAGAAGAACATCTGTTTGGGGATTACGCACAAGAGACTGATTTTTATATAACATATATATGCGCAGCCTTGTTCACATTGCAGAAACATGTATAGAAACATGTTTTGTAGCAGAAAACTGTTGGCTATTTTGTCTATTATCATAAAAAAAACGGAAATTTACGACATAAATCTGTATAGTTTGATTTCATCACAGCAACAAGGGATAGCTTAAGTAATATAAATTCCAGCTTCAAACCTTCAAGCTTTTCTGAGAAAAAAGGTCTTGACAGACTGACGGACAACATGATCCTATAAGGTTTTCGTTTCCCTATCGTAGTAAGGAACCCTAAAAATAAATAACGAAATTATCAAACCTTGTACCAACATGTCAGACAAACAAGGAGGTCTTGATTTTGTAATAGGACACAAATTCATGGACACTTTAAACTTTTTTTTTATTGCATTCTATAAAGCTATGGTTGTAAATTAGATCGCTCTAACTTTTTAGACTAGATGCTATATAAAAAAATCTGATATGGCGTCGTGGTTTAAAAAAAAAATTAAAAAAACAGACACTTTATTGATATTTTCTTTTTATTATCTATCATCCTATCTTTATAAAATTGATGATTTTAACAAGCTAAAAAAATCTGCTTATAACAAAAAAAAACAAATATTTTCATTTTTTTTATTTCATAAAAATCTGTGCTTTTTTCTCATATATCTATGATGATTTTTAACTTAAAATAGAATTATTAATATTAAAAAATATTAAAGTTAAGGGTAATCATAAAAAAAGGCTGCGCACAACTAAAGTGTAAAATTTTTTATTTATTTTTGTAATAAACTAAGTACTAATTAAACTATAGATATTTTTGATGTTTGGTGAAAATTGTTTATAAGAAATCAAATATAAGAATTATAAGGAGGATTTGGTTTTATTTCTTCTTTTTATATAAAAACTATTTGGTAATGCAAAAAAAATTTAAGATTAAAAAGCTGTCTGAAAAAAATTAAAAAAAAAAACGATTATAGTTTTTTTTTCAAAAAATATTGTCATTTGAACTACGAATGTGAACCAAAAGAAAAAATAAGTAATCAAAATTATTAAATTTGAATGAAAAAAATGTTAAATAAAACGATTTTTTTTCAATTTTTTCGTTACGACCCTTTCACTATCAGTGCTCTAAAAATCTACTGGATTGAAAAATAGTTATCAAATTAAACAGAAATTGTAAATTTATTCTAGTTTATTGTGCCACTTAAATTACAATTTAAAAAAAAATATTTTCAATAGATCCAATTTTTCATATTACAAGTCACTGACATCTATAAATGGAGTGGCTATAAGTCGTGATATTTTGTGCCTACTTGAACGTCACCATTTTGTAGCGGTGGTGAGGATAGAATTAACGGACACGTAACATAAAGAGACGCATTTAAGATACGAAGCAATAGCCTATCTATAGAGATCAGTGCTGTAAATATAAAATAATCATTTGAAAGTTCGTTTAGCTTTCTGTTCCGCAGCATCACTGGCTTGTACAAATGTTCTTTTCAATTTATTCTGACGGCTCTCTTTGTATTTCTTTGAAACCTTTTCAGCTAATTTGGCAACTCTCTTCATAGTTAAAGGTGGGTATCTGTAAAATACAGAAATATATATTCATAATACAATTTTGTTAAATAATCATAAATAACAGTGCTAAACCCCGCGACCAAGACCACACAGTAGATTGGCGTCAAGTGGAGGCAATTCCGCGTTAAATCTTATGAGTGTGCATCTGAGTTTTTCTAGTCCACTTTCCCTTCCCACCTTCTTTCTTAAAGAGAAAGGATGGATAGTGGAAGTTTTCCGGATGAGGAGATACATGGGAAGGGAAAATATTCTCTTTTTGTGCGACTCAACAACACTACATCCAAGTCCGTCAGCCTTAAAGAGCAAATAAGGCATCTTTAAGTAATTACTTGCATGGAATTACTTTAAAAATGGTATTTACTAAGGCCTGTAACCTACGACTACATTGTAAACCTTACCTGCATCCTAAAAACTCTATATTAGTGAATAATTGCGCCAAAGTAATCAATTCAGCCTCGTCGAAACTATCCTTGTGTTCCAACATGAAACTTTTACGTACTTCCCATTGTTCGTCAGATTCATGATCCGTACGTAATGAATCAACGTCTATTAAAGTTTTCATATCTATTACGTATTCCAAAATTAATAACAAATTATAATTAAATGACTGTTTTGGTTTATAAACTTTTTAATAAATGTGACAGATAACACGATTACATTTTTGTTGTGACTTTTCTTAGTGTTGTCATATCAAAAAAAAATAATGTACGGTTTTACTTTTAAAAATGTGTATTTTGTAGCAAGTGGCTCTGTAATTAATTTACTTTTTAAAATGACTCAATAAATAATCAACAAGAACTAAGGTATAAAAATATTTTAAACACTAAATTAAAAAATCGATAAACTTGTCGCAACTCCCGATGTAAATGACCTTATGACATTGGGGGCAAAGGTCATTGACATTGTGTCTGGATGTAATGTTACCATATTCGTAGCATTAATATTACCAAGAAAATTTTAATGACTTAATAAATCGGGAATAATCACTAATTTACAAAGTATATATCCTGCAAACATTTTTGAGCTACTTCCTTTAGAAAATAAAAAGTTTGATTACGTAAAATCTCTCAAAAACGCTGTTAAAAACCGAAAGTGGTTAAATGAAAAATAATTTAATAACTACCATATTGGTCTAAAAATTACTATATGGCAATAATTAGTTTGAGAACTATAACACTGCAATTTGAAAAACACCGCAACCTCTTATATGAACAGTCTTTTTACTGGCGTCTTTTAATTTTGTAAACTTATACGTAACTTTTGCAGCCAATTGTCAAACTAAGTATACTTCTAAAGATATTTAAATTATTTTTATAAAATCTTTTCGAGGGTAGTTTTTACATATTAAGTGTTCAAAAGTTGTATTTGTTAGAAGTGTACCTACGTCTGATATGGAAAAAATAATAGCAGGTAAGATAACTAATATTAAATCTTTCTTTGTTTCGTAAACAATACAACTTAGTTTTACTTTGTAATTTATTGTCCCCAGATATTTTTCTAGTTATATATTGAAGTGATATTAATCATATAAAGTAAGTCTCCAATTCTCCTGTTCTCATAAAATGATTATTTGATTATAAAATGGCGTTTTCATTACGTAAAATGCTAACAAATATCAATTATTTCAAAAAGTCCGATAATGAAAGTGAAGATACGAGAAAACAAGATATAGAGGAAGTGAATTACATAAACACTGAACCGGATTCCACAGTACGTCAGTGCTCAAGTCTAAACATACCTGATTCCGTGAAAAAGTTCACCGCTAAAAAAAGTTCTTTGTCAGACACGGACCTCCTTACATTAAACGTTGATAGTCCTATCAGGCACAAACATAAAAGATGTAAAAAATTAAAACTGGACATTAAAAAAGCGAGTCAATCGTTAAATGAAAAATTAAATCAAGAAGACGAAAACAGTTGCGAATCTAACATCGAAAACACACCTAAACATATATTACTTGAATGTGCAACTTCAGAATTCAATAATAAACTAAAAGGATTCGATTTTAGTAAAGAATATGATATTTACGATGGTACATCAGACGATCAGTGGTCAAATCCTTTCGAAGAAGAAAACATCGATATAGAATCATTCTCAGAGCATTCGGACAGTGATATATCTATCAGTAATAAAAAGAAATCAATAAAAATGTGCCGTAAAGTACAATCAACGCGTAGCGAATCATCCAGCGATGAGAATCAACATCCGTCAACACCTGAATCATTCGGTGATTTAGAAATGGATAAAAGCGAAGTTGAAAGATTAAATTTACTATACAACTATCAAACAAAACTTGAAAAGGTACAAAATCTATTAAAAGATATGCTAAACGAGTTCCAATTTCATATAGAAGTATCCAAAATCTTCAATACACGAGTACCCGAAGAAGAAACTGATTCTAATAACACTGAATTCAGGAAACCCAGTCCGACGGACTCTTGGAGTGTTATACTCGATAAAGAAGATGGCGACACGAAAACATCAGTCAAAAAACAACTAGAATCAATCAAAAAATCAATAGAACAATTCATAAATATATATTTAAAAAATTACGATAATAAAGATATAATAAAAAAATGTAAAAATTACATACCACGCAACGAAAGCATATCAAGACGTGTTAATAAAAAGAAGAATAAACACTACGATTTTCCAGATTTAAGAGATGCATTGATTAATCTATTCAATACCGATTTGAATACATCAAGTGCGAGTGATACCGATGATTCCTTATCAACGAAATGTAGCTGTTCCTGTCATCATGAGACATCATCGCATACGGATTCAGGTTTGAATAGTAAAGTAGATCAATCATCAAATCAATCGATCACATCGTCTATTGGTAATTTTACTTTAGATGCATCAACATTAACAGCTTATTCCGAATCTCTAGAACAAATTGTTAGTTATAATAGTTTCGAAGATAGTATATACAGTTCATTGTTACATAAATCAGCAATAGAACGTATAACATTTTATATACAAGTACATAATATAGAAGTTAAATATGAAATTACCGATGATGATAGTAAAAATAACATTATATTCCATTGTCAATCATGTAAATCAATTGAATTCAATGAAAATGATCTTATAAAACATATATTGTGTCAAATGCATTGTGAGAAATTACATTTTCAATATAAAACTGCATATATAAAAAAATGCATGTCCGAAGGTAAAGAAATTCAACCGAGTACAGTTTTAAATTCTATGAAAATGTACAGGGATGATAATAAGATTGTGTGCTTTGGTAATGCTGTTTATGCGTGTTCTTTATGCTTTCAAAATGATATTATCGGTGAGTCAGTGTTAATGATGCATTGTGCTGCTAAAGAACATGTTGAGAAACGTGAAAAACTTAATTGTATAGATTGAAACCATCATCAGGTCGCTATATGTCACTACTGAGGGTCTCGGAGTATATAAGTGAGAGTATGTGATAGTGAATGCCGGTCCAGTGCAAGACTTGGCACAATTTTCGTAGAGCATGTAAGCATGTTATATATACGCTTAAAACAACAAAATGTACTTTATAAAGACACTCTGATATTTTTCCATTTTTAAAATTTTTTTTTTTTTTTATATTGACAATTTTTTTAAAAAATGCTTTACACTTTTTTACTTTTTCAAAACATCTATCCGTCTTTTTTATGTATATTTTTTCTTTCTACTGATATATATATTTTTTATATAAGAGTTATGAAAGAAAATTTTTTTTTTTTTTTTTTTAATTGAAAAAGAAAGACATTTTTATGCAATATTAACTGTGATTTTAATATTTAGAAAAATTTAGGATAGGATTCAAAATTTCAATATTTTTTTTTTAAATTAATAAATGCATGATAAATAGTCTAAAAAAAAACCTCAATAAACAGCATCTTAGAGACTTATACGTATTTTTTAAGGAATCTTAATTTCTTTTTCATGACTTCAAAAAATATAGATTAATAATATCTACATTTTTTAACAATCCATATTAACATTTTAAATTGCTATTTTAACCAATATTAAACCTTTTTTTTAGACTAACCTAAAAATCTTTTTGTTACTTCCCATATCACTATATAAATTAATAAACCACATAATTAATATTTAATGTATCCTAAGGGCTGGTCTCAAATATTAGCATGATTTTTGTATACATATTAGTCAAATTGGCTGTTATTAATGTTTGTTATTTGTTTTTTTTTAATGTCATTCAAGTTCAAAAAAAATGACCAAATCAATATTGTGATTTTTTTTAATTGTTATATATTATTAGGTGCTATTTTTTCGTCACTGCCAATATGTATTTTTAAATTTAGCTATATAAATTAGTTCTATACATTTTTCTGTTATTAATTCAACTTGGAGACATTTTTTTATTCATATTTGAGATCTCCATATTATATGTATACTCTTTGATTGCGCCATTTTAGTTTAATGTTTATTAATATCATTAGCTCACTGTACGTTCCCACTAAGGGTCTCGTAGCCTACCCTAAGATAGGGGTGATTAGGATATAGTCAACCACGCTGACCAAATGCGAGTTGACTTCACACATAACTTTGACTTTGTCAGATATGTGCAGCATAACGATGTGTTCCTTCACTGTAAGAACGTCGGATAAATGCATATCTAAATCGGAAATGGGAAAACACATTGGTACAAGGCGGGATTCGAACCCAAGACCTGCAGATTGCAAGTCAAGTACTTGACCACAGAGCCACCGACGTTCATTTATTTTTATAACGGCGCCAAAATACATTTTAATTATTCAATTTTAAATATAGAACTTTTGATTTGTTTAGTTAAAAAACGCTAACTTTAAAACCAAAAGGCAATTGTTACTTTAAAAAAAAAAGCTTTCAGGGTTACCCTATACACTTCTTGAATAATTTTAAAACATAATAAAAAGTGTATAGTTATAAGACAGGGTTTTATTCGATTTATTTGGTCATTTTCAAACTTTTTACTATAAGCTTAAAGCATAGCAGATTAACTGTAATACATTAAGTAAGTTAGTTTTTGACATAACTCGAATAGGTCATATTTTTTATATAAATGTAGCCAATTAATGTATACTGCCTAGCAATACGATTGGACTGTCTCGATTGTTTAATAAAAATACTAGAAAATAGATTTTTTTACCAAAATTTAAGATCAGTCTACAATTTAATAAGTCGTATATACTAAACAGATTAGGCACGTAATATAAATTACGTATATTGTAAAAAAAATCCGTTTAAGAAATGGTTTTATACATTGAAAATTTCCGAAAAATATATCTTCCACTTAAAAACTCCTTAATGCAGTTTTTTGTTTGGATATAATCTGTATTTTATTATAAGAAAAATAAAAAAAAATGTATTTTTAAACGCTTTATAAACATTTATCTGTATTTCTGCATTCGAGAAGGAACAGAATAAAAACCCTAAAGATATAGATCTCGGATACCTTTAAATCAATATATAATAAAGACTGAAAAAAGCACTATTCCAAAAACACATTAAAAATGATTAAATATCATATAAGAAGTGAAATATAAGACAGGACAATTCAACGTTTTCTCATTTTATAACACCATAAGCTAACATAAGTATACTATTTGTACTGTAATTTGAATGTGTCGAAAATTTTATATTTTTCTACTTTTCTACCAAAAATATATCGCCTTTTGCTAAGATTTAAATCATGTATTCGTATAACTTTGTAATCTTAGATTAGGTATTTTGTATCAACTTTTTACGTATTAACTTTATAAAAAAAAAAAAGAAAAAATATTTAAAAAATGTGGTAACACTGTAAGGAACTGTCAAAATTCCCGCTTTTTAAACATGGTCAATACCAATAAAATGATTTAATTTTTTATAGGATGAAATTTAGAAATGCAATATCTGGAATTTCAAAACTGATTAATGTAATTTCATAGGTCTTTTTCCTTAAGATAAAAACGATAGTTGTATTTTTAATTTTAAGCCAAACAATCAGTCTTTGGTCAAACTTGCGTGAGACATTATACTAAACTGATATATAAACACGGTTAAACACTCACGTATATTCGTCCGGTGGCAGCACCACTCACCCTGATGAAGAGCCCCCGATGGGCTCGAAACTAGTCGGTGCCGCCACCGGACGAATATACGTGAGTGTTTAGCCGTCTTTATATATCAGTTTAATCAGTCTTTGATTTATAAAATAGTTAAATGAAGATTTTAGATAAAAATTAGTGATTTCCACTCCATCATTTACGTCCGAAATTTAGAAAGAAAATGTACTTATCAGCTAAGCTAAACTCATTGTGATTAATTGTTGATAATGAACCAAAAGAAAAATGTTGTTTTTAATAGTTATAAAAACGTCTTAAACACGATGCGATGATTATGAAACTTTTTGTCTTAAAAAAATCTTATTACTCCGCTTACAAACGTAATTAGATTTGACTGTAATAATATTAAGTTTTGGCATTTTTTTAATTACTAATTTGTTCATATAATTCATTTTCTTAATTGCTTTTTTCATCACTTTTCAAATTTAAACATGACAATCGATTTTTTTTGTTTTTTTTTACGATTTTTTTCTTGTCTATGGATTTTTTCTTTTTTCAAAATTGTCGCATCAACGGCCAATCAGGTTACAATTCTGTGATTCAAAAAAATGTTATGCTAGTCTTTAATGTTATACCAGTTGGAAATAAAAAAAAATCGCTTTCTTTTTTACTAAAAACTCTTCTTGAAATAATACTATGATTTATAACCAAAATGCAATTATAACCAGGTGTTTTTTGTCCCTCCTTTCGTAAGGCCACGCCGATTCGCGAAAGTCCATAATGTTTTTATTTCGCCAATTTTAATCAGCTAAAAAAATAATTTACACAAAAAAAATCGTATTTTTTTTAATTTAATATCGATTATTGTATATTTATACATGTGCATCTACGAAAAGCGTGACACACACAAAAATGTGTGCAGTACCAATAGCCTAGTCTCGTGTTCGAATCCCAACATTCGACTATTAGGAACCCTGTCTTAAACGACATTAGTTAGAAGTTACTGGTCGTTTTTGTTGTATAGTCTCGTTTCGTTGTCTTTTTTAGCTAAATTATACATTTTTTTTAATTCTGCATTTTTTTTATGTCTAACTGGTGTTACCTATCTGTTACTCTTGACTGTTATTTCTTTTTCGTCAAAAAAATACAATTTTAGACTAATAAAGGTGTGTTCTGAATTGTCTTTGTTTTTTAAACGTGACCTAATTTTCTTTATATGTCAATTTTCAGTGGCATAATATCAGGTGAGTTGTTTCTTCTAATATTAAAAGATAAAAAAAATGTTGTATTAACGATTGATTTCGGAGACCAAAATCTTCGTATAAAACATATCGTCGGTATGTCTGTTTTAAACGGGAATTTTGGTCTTAGAAACCTACGGTAAGTGGTAATAAAACCGTTCTAATAGGAATGTCTGAATAATCTAAGTCTAATAGGAAAACAATAATGAAAATGTTTGGTAGAATTTTTGAACATAATCTTTGTTATCATAAAATGGAGTAGATTCATGTAAATTATTATTTCAAATTTTTTAATAGGCTATTAGTTGTCGACAGTGACTTCTCTGCGCAGAATTAAAAAAAAACTTTGTAGTCTGTGTTCTTCCAGACTATGTTCTACATCTATGACTTTCAGCGTGATCCATGCAGCTGTTCTGGGGATATTTTCTAAAAAAACATACATCTAAACATTCGCATTTATATTAGTACTAGCTGTCGCCCGCGTGTTTGTCTGAAAAATAAAAATTTTGGGGTAGACTACCCTTAACATTTAGGGGGATAAAAAAATAGATGTTGGCCGATTGTCAGACCTACTCAATATGCTCACAAAACTTCATGAGAATCGGTCAAGCCGTTTCGGAGGAGTATGGGAACGAAAATTGTGACACGAGAATTTTATATATAAGACTAGTTGTCGCCCGCGACTCCGTTCGCAACAACTACTAATAAAATAAAAAATTTATTAAAAAAACATTGTCCAGCGGACAAAATTGTGAATCTAAACCATTCCCAGATCCCCTTGAACACACAAAAAGTTTCATCAAAATCGGTCCAGACGTTTGAGAGAAGTTCAGTGACATACACACACACAGAAGAATTATATATATAAAGATTGCACAAATTATTGGTTATAATATAAATAAAACGATGCATAATTAAAATAATTTAATTTCCTTTAATACAGACAAACAAGGTCTTTTAAAAGGAGTTTTATGTTGTTCTAACAAGTTTTCTAATAACATACAATTTGTTGGTAAACCAAGTGATTTTTGTGCTTGAAGATAAGTCAAGAATAAACGACCGTAATTTTTATCATCAATACAGTAATCGGAGTTTTCTATTAACAAAGTTTGTATGTACATTTGTAGATTTTCCGTCTTCTTAAAATCTTTATAAACTATATAGATTGTATGTAAATGATGAAGGAATATTTCTGATGTTATATTCATATGCATTAAGATAGATATAAAATGTTGCCGCAGTTCTATGTTTGAATTTTGTATAAATTCTTGTAATATGCAACTTTTTATATTAATATCTTCAATTAATTTGATTATAACTAATTTAAAATCATCCGGATAGTTATTATTGGCTTTTATTAATAAATCTAAAGCTAATAATGATTGATCTCTCTTAAGAAATGTTGGGAAAAAATTTATTAAGAACAAAGAAATGAATTTTGTTTCATTGTTATTGACAAATAAATAGTTGCATATTTTTTCTATACTGTTAGTTGTAAGATGTTGTGCTAATTGGGATATTAAATTAGGGTTTTCTGTACATTTTTCTATGATAAAATCCAATCGTAGTAATGGGTCAGAATCTATTAGATTACAAAAGTTTTCATCGTAAGTTTTTGAAAGGATTTCCTCATTTAACATAGAAGTATCCATTGCATTTTCATCTGTAGGCATTTCTTCGTCAGTAATATCTTTGTTTACGCATTCCTCGTGTATTTTCTTTAAGTTATATTCGTTCATATAACTTTTGTTTACATGTTTGAATTTTTCGCTCCATTTATTATTATTTTCGATTGTAACTGCTGTTTTAAGCCACTTGTCGATATACGGTTCTGATAATGATGAAAACGACCAAATGTTCGACATGATTACATTAATTCTATTCTCTACAATTCAAGTATTTGATAAAGATTTGAAATCAAAACAATGGGATTTAACAATGACATATTGACATGAGTTCATTTGACATAATTGTACAAGGCTACATAAATCATACTGCCACAAAAAATTTGTTCTTAGATTTATTTTTTTTAAGAATTTTTAATGCAATATTATTCAAAAGAAAGAAAATCTAAAATGACTTGAGATATTAAATATCAAAAACAAAATAATCAATAATTTGGCGGAAAAATATAGTGTTTTAAAATGAAACTGATTAACAAATAAAAATTCAACTCGAAACCATTTTCTTCTTGGAAAGATACAATTAAAACATTATTGTAGTATTTGTAAACAACATTTGTAATCTATAACAAAGTTCGTTGTCCAGTAATCAAAGGTTTCCTTCTAACTAAATGAACTGGATTTATGGATGTGATGTCTTTATCAAATAGAATCAGTCGCCAATGAACTGTCTCGGAGTTCGGTTGACTTACGTCAAATAGAGCTTTGATTTTGTAAATATAAATAATTCGTTTCGTTAATATTTTTTTGTTTAGTAAATGTACGTTGGTAAGTTTATTTATTGCTATTTATTGATTATTGTTCAAGATAATAACCAAGTAGGTATCGTAACAGGAAAACCGTGTACTTATACTAATCCAATTATTTGTATAACTTTGTTTTATATATATTGTGTTAAATCCATTTTCCGTCAGACTTTTTTGAGGTCATTGTTCCTTTATAACATAATAGCTTTTGCCTGCGACTTTGTCGGCGCTAAATTAAAAAAAATAATAATAAATATAGTCTGTTTCTCACTAATAATGTAACTTTTTAAAGGCAAAAGAATTTTTAATATCGCGCCAGAACTTTTTCAGTTTTATTTTTAACATACAAAAATACAAATATTATTTCTTTGTGTAATAGATTAATACATAGAAAAGTAATTTCAATTCGTTTATTATTCAAAATAAAATATTTATTTCTCGTAACGGTTTTTTTTATATTTCCACGAAACTAACGCGCGCATTTTGACAGTTATTCTTTAAATTTAAAGAACGAAAATACGAAGTAATAACTTTCCGTTTTAAACTTGTATTTTTATGAAAATTTAAAAGTTATTATATAATTATTACGCTGTTAGTTCTTTATAAATATGTTAAAAATCCAGTGTAAGCCCATGGTTAAAGAAAAACCGGATACATTGCAATGTAAGTGGGAACGCAATCGTGAAAAAAACTCGGACGAGTAACCTATTCCAGATATTACGTATCCTGGACCGAGAAGACTGGTTTCTTGAGACTACTTTTTATTGAATTTGGTACACGTCTAACCTTGATAACTCAGTTAGTTCCTTGATAATTGTGATGGCTTGAAAATAGACATAAATTAGGCTGTAACTATAGCTACTATCGCTCGCGACTCTGTCCGTACGGTATCAAAATAAAACTTAATTGATGAAATTTGTCATACATATAGAACATAGTCTGGAAGAACACATAGACTACTTATTATGTTTTTTAATTTTGCGCGGACAGAATCAAGTGTTACATACAGCATAATTTAATGTCCAAGTTGCGTGTGAATGCTTTTTGGGAGAGTCGCGGGCGTCAGCTAGTATACAAGTCAAGGCAATTTAACAATTATAGTTACTAACCGAAGTATGAATAATTTCCTTTGTTTCTTACAATATTGATAACGTTACAAAAATAACAAATAACTCGATTATAATATAAATAAAGCACTCGACAATATTTGTTTTGTTAATCATATTATTTACACTTTTAATTGTTATTTACTAAAGACCTTAAAGTATATAAATATTAGTTTAAGATAAAACCAAGGGTACTTAACTTTTTTTAAAAGTTTTATATCAAACAATCAACAGTGGTAGAGCCCGCTTTAACATCTTCGCACGAATTGTCCCGGCTCGCCCGGTGAAATACCACGACCACACAGAAGACAGGCGTCAAGTGGAAGCAATTCCAACTACAGTCTGATGAGTGTGCGTCCCGGAGGCTTAATTTAGTCCTCTTTCCCTTCCCAACCTTTTTCTTATAAGGAAAGGATTGGGAAGTGGAAGTGGACTTTCCGGCTGAGAGGATGCATGGAAAGGGAAAATATTTTCTTTCTGTGCATCTCCTCCGTCGATTAAAGGTAGGCAACGCATATGCAATTGCGTATGTCTATGGGCAACAGTCACTTCGCTATTTCAGCGATTTCAGGTGGCCGCTCGCTGATTTGCCACTTTATTATATATAAAAAAGCGTCAATAGCCTAATGGTTAAGGGTACGGATTTCCGATCACGAGGTCGGGGGTTCGAATCCCGCCATTCGATTATTGTCGTAAACATTATCCTAACACAAGCCTAGAGCTAAGTTGTAATGGTAAAAGAAATATTAGTAAATTTACAAAAAAATCTGCTAATATTTTTATATATATAAAAAATTAAAACTATCGATCTATTAGGTAGACAATTCGATTCTGTGTCGGTGTACTGGCAACACTAGCCTTATTAAAATGTCAACGTTTATATCCCCTCACTACATCTGACAGTTGACTTTGTAACGAAAGCGCGTCATTTCGCGCCAAAAATTCTAACTAATAATGTCTAAAAATACACATATAAATAAAATTTAACTGTCTGTTTGTAATATTTATACAATAGTTTATTACTACATGTATATGAATATATACATACATGAAAATAACATTTTTTTACAACTTTTGTCTGTCTGTTTGTGCTGGCTAATCTCTGAAACGGCTTGACAGATTTTGACCGGACTTTTATTAGCAGATAGCTAAAGTAATAAGGAGTAACTTAGGCTACTTATTTTAGAAAAATAAAGTTATCTTCCAATGTTCAAGTACTGTCCAGTACCGGACTGCTCAAAGACAGTATTTCTTTCAACGTCGTCGTTTTTCTTTCAGGTAGACATGTGGTTTATTTTACTGCTTTTGTCAGCGACCGCAGTACTATCAAGTCCTGTTCCTGACTCTTCAGGGACTCAGGAAAGATGTGGATATGACGTAAGTATGCCTAAACTTACTAATATAAATGAGAATGTTTGGATGTGTGTTATAAGATAGGAAGGTATCTCCAGAACGTATGCATGGAGCTCGCTTACTATTGGTAGGAACAGTGGTAGAGCCCGCTTTAACATCTTCGCACGAATTGTCCCGGCTCGCCCGGTGATATACCACGACCACACAGAAGACAGGCGTCAAGTGGCAGCAATTCCAACTACAGTCTGATGAGTGTGCGTCCCGGATGAGAGGATGCATAGGAAGGGAATATATTTTCTTTCTGTGCATCCTCTCCTCCGGCGAGGTAGGCAACGCATATGCAATTGCGTATGTCTGTGGGCAACGGTCTCAGGTGGTCGATGGCTCGTTTGCCACCTTGTAACATAAAACCACCACTAACTAAGCTCTATGCTTGTGCTAGAACATGGTTAACAATAGTCGAATGTCAGGATACGAATCTTGACCTCGTGATCTGAAATCTGTACCCTTAACCATCAGGCTATTAGCGCTTCAAGTCTAGAAGAACACATAGGCTATTTTTTAATTCGATGCGCACAAAGTCGAGGGCAACAGCTAGAATGTCTTTGAGTTTATAAGAATCAAGTAGAAATACCGTTTTTGAATACGTACCTCTTGACTATGGAATTATTAGAATATTTTTGTTTTAATATGTAAAATTTTCTCCTTTGTAATAGAAAAAAAGGCAAATTTAATATTCCATTTTACACTACAATGTTTTCAAATTCTTGTTTCTATCAACACGGTTAAATGGTTATAAATATATACTAATATTATAAAGCGGAAGAGTTTGTTTGTACTCGCTAATCGCAGGAACTATTGGTCCGATTAAAAAAAAAAAATTTGTTGAATAGTCCATTTATAGAGGAATGCTTTAGGCTATATAACATTACGATGCGACTAATAGTTTATTTATAATTCCGCGCGGACGTAGTCGCGGGTTACAGCTAGTTATGAAATAAATGCAAGTTCAAATGTTATCAGTAACTTTTAGGTTAACTGAGTAACGAGTTGAACTCGTGATTCGATACGGAATAACAACTTAGTAGTCTGTATGTTCTTCCAGACTATGTTCTATATCAGTCTTTCCTAAAGTGGGCGATTACGCCCCCTTGTGTGCGCTGCAGGTCTCAAGTTGCGGGTTATAGTAAAACGTTTCCTTTACAATTCTCCGTTAATATACAGTACCTGGATGACGGAGCTTTGCTTGGTATTTTTTTTTAAATTGTGTTTTTTGGAAATTATATTTAAGTAGGAATTACTAATAAAATGATGAAATATGAATAATATTTTTCGATCTTAAAGATAGAAAAAGTTAAGTTTATGTTTAAGTTGATTATCGATAAAACACGAATAAAATGACATTTTCCTAAAAATGATTCCTAGCTAGATCTATTTATCGCCCCCAAAACCCTCTATATACTAAATTTTATGAAAATCGTTGGAGCCGATTCCGAGATTCCAATTATATATATACAAGAATTGCTCATTTAAATATATAAGATATATAGGTCACAATAATTAAATAGTTTAATTTGAAGTTATAGTGGTTTTTGAATATGTGAAAATATGGGGGCATCAAAAACATATTTATTCTCAAAAGTGGGCAGTAGACAAAATAAGTTTGGCAACCACTGTTCTACATGTATGACGTTCAGTAAGATTCATGCAGTCGTTCTGGAGATACTTTCTAACAAACATCTAAACATTCGCATTTATAATATTAGTAAAGTGACACGTAGGCATTTAACAAAATAGAAAGGACATTACAAACCAAAATCAAAAAAGTGTACGTATTCTTAAATATTTTAAATTAACTCTTCGTAATGTCCGTTCTATAACTACAATAATATTTGTTAGTTTAGTTAACATATGTATACAGGTTTTTTTTTATATTATAAGGTGGCAAACGAGCGAGCGGCCACCTGAAATCGCTGAAATAGCGAAGTGACCGTTGCCCATAGACATACGCAATTGCATATGCGTTGCCTACCTTTAATCCACGGAGGAGAGGATGCACAGAAAGAAAATATCTTCCCTTTCCATGTATCCTCTCATCCGGAAAGTCTCCTTCCACTTCCCATGCTTATAAGAAAAAGGGTGGGAAGGGAAAGAGGACTATATAAGGCCTCCGGGACGCACACTCATCAGACGAAACGCGTAGTTGCTTCCACTTGAAGCCTGTCTTCTGTGTGGTTGTGGTATTTCACCGGGCGAGTCGAGCCAATTCGTGCGAACATGTTAAAGCTCGCTCTACCACTGTTATTTTTTGTCTTTATCACCCATCTTTAAATAATAATATTTTATTTTCTTTTATCTTCTAGAGTTGTACAGAAGCGGATGCTAGTGTGCTGAATATACATATAGTTGCACACACACACGACGATGTCGGCTGGCTAAAAACTGTCGATCAATATTATTATGGAAGTTAGTATGTTTTAATTATGCTGAAATCAATTAACTCAGATTCTTTGTATACAGGCAATTTAAATGTCATATAGTTCCGTACAAGGCGTCGGTGGTTCAGTGGTCAAGCACTTGACTTGCAATCTGCAGGTCCTGGGTTCGAATCCCGCCATGTACCAATGTGTTTTTCGATTTCCTATTTACATATGTACATTTATCCGATGTTCTTACGGTGTAGGAAAACATCGTGATGCAACCTGCACATATCTGAGAAGTAATTCAAAGATATGTGTGAAGTCAACCAACCCGCACTTGGCCAGCGTGGTTGACTATGGCCTAGTCACCCTTAACTTAGGGTAGGCTCCGAGCCCCTCAGTGGGGACATATAGTGTTCCATACTATTTCGTTTATTGAGCATCCCGTGATGTATGAATGTGTTACATTTACATATGTACATTTATCTTATGTTGTTACGGTGAAGGAAAACATCGTGATGCTGCACATATCTGACAAACTCAAACATATGTGTCAAGTCAACCCGCACTTGGCCAGCGTGGTTGACTATGGCCTAATCATCCTTAACTTAGGGTAGGCTCCGAGCCCCTCAGTGGGGACATATAGTGTTCCGTACTATTTCGTTTATTGAGCATCCCGTGATGTATGAATGTGTTACATTTACATATGTACATTTATCTTATGTTGTTACGGTGAAGGAAAACATCGTGATGCTACACATATCTGACAAACTCAAACATATGTGTCAAGTCAACCCGCACTTGGCCAGCGTGGTTGACTATGGCCTAATCATCCTTAACTTAGGGTAGGCTCCGAGCCCCTCAGTGGGGACATATAGTGTTCCGTACTATTTCGTTTATTGAGCATCCCGTGATGTATGAATGTGTTACATTTACATATGTACATTTATCTTATGTTGTTACGGTGAAGGAAAACATCGTGATGCTGCACATATCTTACACATTATAAGCATAGAAAAGTCAACGTCAAATATAATTAAAATTAATATTGGTAATACAAAGAAATTATGTTGTGTTGCGAATTTGGTAATCGATTACCGTTACATTGAGTAATTAAAGTTATTACCGTATTACTTCGGTAATTCCATGGTTAGTAATACATAGCATGTGATCAAGGTTGTAGCTAATCAGTTATTAATATAATTTATGTATGTTATTTGTTCGTTAAACTATGACGAATTATAATACACTAGTCGACGCCCGCGACTGTCGCGCGGATTTAAGTAACTTGTAGCCTATATCTTTAGACTATGTTCTACATCATCATCAGCTCACTATACGTCCCCACTGAGAGGCTCGGAGCCTACCGTAAGTTAAGTGATTAGGCCATAGTCAACTACGCCGGTCCAGTGCAGGACTTGACACATATGTTTGAGTTTGTCAGATATGTGCAGCATCACGATGTTTTCCTTCATCGTAACAACATAGGATAAATGTACATACATGACAGGATTACAACACAGGACCTGCAATGTCAAGTCAACTGATTAACCACTGAGACACGGACGCTCCACATCTATGACAAATTTTATCAAGATCCATAAAACCGTTCTGGAGATATATTCTAACATACATACATACATCTAAACATTCGCATTTATATTACGATTACATTAAAATATCGAGGATATTTTGATTATATAGAAAGGAACATCAAACACTTTATCTAAAAAATACGAGAGATTTAAAAAAAACTCATATATTTTTTAATGTTTGTATGGGTAGGTTTATTGCAACATCCTGTAACTACTGAACATATTTTGACATTGACCCTTATAAATGGACAGGCTATGAGACGTATTATTTTGTGCCTTTTTGATTACCGCTATGTTAGTTCTTCAGGAATAACAGGCAAGTAACATCAACAGACGCGTTTAAGGAACGAAATGGTACTTCTTACTTTTATAAATGCGTATGTTTACATGTTTGTTAGAAGATATCTCCAGAACTGCTGCATGGAACTTGGTGAAATTTAGTATAGATATAGAACATAGTCTGGAAGAACACAAAGGCTTATTACGTGTTCTTTTAATTCCGCGCGAACAGGGTCGCGGGCGATAGCTAGTCAATTTAAGATCAGTTGATTTTGACGAGTAATATGTCTTTTTATTCGTATTCTTCACATGTTTTTTCTTACAAAAACTAATAATTTTTTTAGGTCGTAATAATATACAGAAAGCTGGTGTCCAGTATATCTTGGACTCTGTCGTAAAGGAGCTATGGGAAGACCCGAAACGAAGGTAAAAGCAATTGTTTAGGGCTGCAGTACTTTGTCATATCTTATTAATCCTATTTCCCTTCCAACTCTTTTCTTATGAAAGGATGAGAAGGGGATTTGGATTAGACGGAGGACGATATAAGAATGTATTCTGTCTGTAAGTCTCCTCCGTCGATTAATGGTAACGCATCTACAAATGATGTCTATGGGTAGCGATCGTTTCGCTATTCCGGCGAATTAAGGTGGCATCTTGCTCATTTACCATCTTATGTTATAAAAAAGTTTGGATTAGAAATTACTATCTATCTTAAACTGTAATAGAATAATTTGTTAAGTAATTTTTTACAGATTTTTTTTAAATTAGATTCAAAAAATTTTTTTTTTCATTTTTTTTTGTTGTTTTAAAGAATTGTCTTCTTTTATCTAGGTTTATATACGTAGAGACAGCATTCTTTTGGATGTGGTGGACGAGACAGACGGAGACAGTACGAGATAAGGTTCGTACGTTAGTTAGAGAAGGACGGCTGCAGATGGTGGGCGGGGCTTGGAGTATGAACGATGAGGCAGCTTCTCATTACCAAAGTACTATTGATCAGTTTACTTATGGACTTAGGTAAGACTCTATATATACTAGATATCGCCCGTGACTTCGTCTAATAAAAAAAATAAAAAAAATCTTTATTGGGCAAAAATTTTTCACAAAATTTTGTGCTCTTCCAGACTATGTTCTACGGCTATGTCTAGTTTCAGATAAATCTGTTTAGTCGTTCCAGTGATACTTTCAAACAAACATCCATCTAAAAATTCGCATTTATAATATTAGTAAGAACGAAAAGAAGGGTCTTAATAGACGGATGGACAACAAATTGATCCAATAAGGGTTCCCTTTTGAGAGTTCCGTACGTCGTAGGCAAAAAAACCCTTATAGGATCAATTTGTTGTCCGTCTGTCTGTCAAGACCCTTTTTCTCAAATACACGTTAAGGTATTAAGCAGGAATTTCTTTTCCTTTCGTGGTACGGAGCCATAAAAATCATATTTCGTATACATGATGTTTTTGCGTTGAAAATAAAGAAAAAAACATTTTTTTTTAATTTTTTGTCTGTCTGTCTATCTGTCCGCTTGTTCGTTGTACCGGGTAATCTCCGTTTGGACAGATTTTGACGAAACATTGACTGGAATTGGGCATTTTATAAGCAATTTTTTTTAAATTCCGCGCCGACGAAGTCGCGGGCGACTATTAGTTATCAAATTATATATACTAATATTATAAAGCGGAAGAGTTTGTTTGTTTGTACGCGTTAATCTCAGGAAGTACTGGTCCGATTTGAAAAATTATTTTTTGTTGAATAGTCCATTTATAGAGGAAGGCTTTAGGATATATAACATTACGCTGCGACCAATAGTTTTTTTTTTATTTAACGCGGACGGAGTCGCGGGCGACAGCTAGTATTTTATAATATGGCCGAATAATTGGTTTAAGTTGCATTTTTTGTTATTTTTTCTTTAGTAAATTGAACCAAACATTTGGTGCTTGTGGACGTCCTCATGTTGGCTGGCAAATAGATCCATTTGGTCACTCCAGAGAATTCGCATCTCTTTTAGCAGCTATGGGATACGATGGTCTCTTCTTAGGCAGGATAGATTACCAGGATAAGAGACAGAGGTTATTGGGGAAGAAGATGGAAATGGTATGGAGAGGAGATGATAGTTTGGGTAAGTGGATTTCTTGACAGGGGATTTTTTTTGATTTTTTAATCGATGATTGTAAATTTTTTTAATAGTAATTAACTGTAGACGACAAATTTTTTGCTCTTTTTTTTAATTTTGTGCTATCGAAAAACTGTTTTTTTTTAATTTAGCATTTATAAAAATAACAGATCGACTTTTGATCTTGAATTAGCTTCAATTTTGTTTTTTTTTGCCTATTTTTTTTTACATTTTTTCTATTTTTTTTTATTTTTTCTTAGGTAAATCTTCAGATATATTTACTGGTGTATTATATAACACATATTCACCTCCTCCTGGATTTTGTTTCGATGTTTTGTGCAACGATGAACCAATTATAGATGACCCCAGCTCACCAATGTACAATGTGGATCAAAAGGTCAGCTTATAATGGATAGTTTTAAACAGTTTTTTTTTTAATATTATTATTAAAAAAATCAGTTTGTAAGATATAGAAATAGTCGAATTCGAACCCACTATTACTAAATCAATAATCCGTTTACTTAACTAATGGACTATGAAGTATTTTTTGTATTTTTTTTTACTTAGCTAGTTTTTTTAATCGTAAAATTTTATTTTTTATATTTGCGTTTGGATTTTGGTTATTTTTCTGTGACAAATACTTTTTTTTTACCTTTTTTTGATTACAAAAGAGCAAGAGATTCTAACTAACTATTATGTTTTTTTTTTCAAATCTCTTAAAATTCGAAAGGTGGACAAATTTCTTGCAATATGTCAGAATATATCATCTGGTTATAACACAAAAAATATCATTGTGACAATGGGTGAAGATTTTCACTATCAAGACGCAATTATGTGGTTCAGAAATCTAGATAAATTAATACAGTGAGTCTATAAACTAGATTTAGGCATGACTTAGGCATGGATTGCACTAAATGGTACTAAGCATTAAGGGAATTAAGACTTAATAAAATGTAGTTAAGCCTTTTTTTCACTAGCATTTTTGTGTCGATATCTCGCGTGGTCAGTCGTAGTGAAAATAGGGTCTAAAAGTAGACAATTTTGGTATAACTATGGGTTTTTATTGGTTGAAATAATACTAGCAAAAGATTTGTTAGAATCATAATTTTTTTTATATATCATAAAGTGGCAAACGAGCGAGCGACTACCTGAAATCGCTGAAATAGCGAAGTGACCGTTGCCCATAGACATACGCAATTGCATATGCATTGCCTACCTTTGATCCACGGAGGAGAGGATGCACGGAATGAAAATATTTTCCCTTCCCATGCATCCTCTCATCCAGAAAGTCCACTTCCACTTCCCATCCTTTCCATTATAAGAAAAAGGGTGGGCAAGGGAAAGATGATTAAATGAGGCCTCCGGGACGCAGACTCATCAGACTGTAGTTGTTTTTTTTTAATTGTGCGTTGAATTCGACATTTCGAGCTTTTTACTGTTCGTTTACCATAGATCCTTGTCTATAATGACAATTATTAGTTGAACTCTACCATAAACTCATTTGTTTTCTATTTATAAAATCAGTCTATGGTTTGTCCCGATAGGTGAGCAAATTTGTGGACAAAGTCAGAGAGATGTCTCACGCGTATAAAACCAAAAATATCCTCGTCACAATGGGGGATGACTTTAATTATCAGGACGCGGGAATGTGGTTCAACAATTTGGACAGATTGATTAAGTAAGTTTCATTTGTATATGACACACGAAATTTAAAAAAAATGCATTTTTTTTCGCTTTTGGCTCATTTTTTGATGCAACTAAACATACACTCTTCGTTGTATTTTGTACTATCGGGGAATTTGTTGGTACTACATTTTAAAAACGAGTCATATAAACGTCTACCAATAGGACGAACATTTTAAATATTTCTTTACGAATTGCTTTTTACTATTACACCGTCGTTTGCACAACTAACTGCTAATTGGCTATTGTATGAACTAACGCCGCTAGAGTTTGTCTCATTGAGATAACAAGGCATTTTTTCTGTAAGTGCATCACCGCGAAGTGCTCTGACTGTACCTTTTTTTCATTTACGTTTTTTGATAATATTTGAGGATTGTCTTGTTTTTTATATGTGTTTTAGCAATGAAAACCCATAGTTATATTACTTTAGAATGTTACTAATTCCATTGATATTTGTTCTGGGACATCATCTACTAATATTCGCAACATTTTATTTCTGTATAATTGCATTAAATAAACGCTTATTTTTATCTATATATTTAAAATTGCTGTTCTTTAGTCTAGCTAAAATTCGACAGCTGAACAGATCTTATCTTGGTCTTAAAATGTTCGCGGATGTCTAGGGAAGGTTTAAAACGTGTTAAATAATTCAAAAAATTGCCTGCAAAACTCTAAAAACAGCCCTTTTTTATACACGACTGAATGGATACGCCGTAATTTGGCATAATGTAGAGATTTTTATTAAGCGCGGACGGAGTCGCGGGCTACGGCTATTTATAAGTAACTTTATCATTGTTAAGTATAGTAGTATCACACTTTTAAATAATAAGTTATTTATTGCAACTTGACAATCAATTGAAGCGTCAATAGCCTAATGATTAAGCGTACGGATTTCCGATCACGAGGTCGGTGGTTCGAATCCCGCCATTCGACTATTGTCGTAAACCATATCCTAGCACAAGCATAGAACTTAGTTGGAAAGGTAAAAGAAATATTAGTAAATAATAACAAAAAAATTTGCTAATATTTAAAAAAATGTTTTAAATATCTATTTTTTGTCTTTCTATTATAGTCTGAAAAAACCGTTTAATCTCGTTTCTTTTTTTGTTTGATATAATTGTGAAATGGTTAATAACGTCTGTATTTCTTAATTTACTGATATTATAAATTAATAAGCGACCAGTAAGTATTCTTAAATCCTGTGGGTTTTTAGTACTGCAGTCTAACCGTAATTTAATTTGTTACGTAAAGTTTTTGTATAATAAAATAAAAAAGTAAAAAATAGTCTACAGTTTAAGACGTGTTTTCTATGTTACCTTTTTTTTCTGACGATTAACAATTAATCGTGTAGTTTATAGCGATTCGGAATTAAAGTTAATTATAATTTTGATATTTAAAAAAGATATTTGTTACGCGAAACATATCCAAAATTCCAACACGATACATTTGTAGTGTGATGAACTTAGTAATCGGTGGCCAAGTCAAAATAAACTGCAATATAGGTCGACAAGGATATCTGACCCGGTGAGCATAAGTCAAACTAATTGATAATATTCAAACTTTCTGGTACTGGTATTATTTCGCGGACGCGGCCCGTCGCTCACTTGTGTGCCACCACTCACCACCACTCATCCTGATGAAGGGCCCCCGATGGGCTCGAAACTAGTCGGTGCCGCCACCGGACGTATATACGTGAGTGTTTAGCCGTGTTTATATATCAGTTTAAATGATAATACCTCACCAGCGCCCTCCTGTCAGTGTCACTAGATCCTTTCCTTACTATAACAGTCATTTCTTTTATGTCATTGTGTTTGCTCATGAAGATTTTATATATTTTCTGACAGAACTAACCGCGACAGCAGCGCCTCTCACCGGGTCAGATATCCTTGTTTGATTAGTACATCTTTAACTTTAATGTCATAATCTTTGTCAGAATATAGTCTGTCTTGTTTAAGTTTTTTAATGCGATAGCAGCGCCCCTCTCACCGATTCAGATAGTTTTATCGCACTATTATGTATATTCTCCTCACATAATACATAAATTAGGTAAATGATTTCCTGGACTACGCGAACGAAGCAAGCAAAAGATATAAAACAAAGAATGTACTCATCACAATGGGGGGTGACTTTACTTACCAAGATGCAGGCATGTGGTATAACAACTTGGATAAGTTGATTAAGTAAGTTGCTTGCGTTAATTGCATTTATATGATTTACCGTGGGTTTCTAAGACTGAAAACAAATTGATAACTTGACAGGGTTACATCTTTTGCAAAACTTTACTATGTTATCACTGTAAAATGTTTTAAATAGAACTTTGGGCTAAGAAACCCACGATTAATATAGTATTTTCTGTTATAATACATCCCCTCCCTAAATCCATAACCTCATCGTTTCTTTTCTAAGGTGGGAAAGAGATGAAATCCAACTAAACGCAGAATTATTTACACTTGACACGTTCTTTTGTAGATTTTCTTTACAGTTGTTAAACTAAATAGGTTCTAATTTTTTATTTTTTCTATCAGACATACAAATCTTAAGTCTGCTAAGGAAGGACTCGGTATAAAGGCTTTCTACTCAACACCTGATTGCTATTTGAAAGCTGTTAGGAATGCTTTGTAAGTAATTTTTTTTTAATAAAAACTTCTTTTAATTTTATATATAACGTTACATATATAATCGTATTAGTAAGATTCTGACAGGACATTGTCGGTGGCTCAGGGGTCAAGCACTTGACTTGCATTCTGCATGTCCTGGGTTCGAATCCCGTGATGTATGAATGTGTTACATTTACATATGTACATTTATCTGATGTTGTTACGGTGAATGAAAACATCGTGATGCTGCACATATCTGACAAACTCAAACATATGTGTCAAGTCAACCCGCAATTGACCAGCGTGGTTGACTACGTCCTAGTCACATAACATAGGGTAGGCTCCAAGCCCCTCAGTGGGGACGTATAGTGAGCTGATGATGATGATTAAATTGGAATTTTGCAAAAAAAAAGAGAAATCCGAATGACAACATTTTTACGATTATTTACGTCGAATCCAAGAAAATACGATTGAATAAGAAAACACAAACACATTTTTTATATATTTTTATTTTATTAATAATATAGTCTTAATATTTTTTTTATCAGTCCCAGTCTACCAACAAAACAGGATGATTTCTTTCCGTACGCGAGTGACCCTACTGCTTATTGGACGGGATATTTCACTTCTAGACCCACAACTAAATACTTTGAAAGGGAATCTAACGCATTTTTACAGGTACGATCTTACTAATATTATAAATGCGAATGTTTATATGTATGGATATCTAAGAGTGTATGGATCTTGATGAAATTTGGTATGTAGAACATAGTCTGGAAGAACACATAGACTATTTATATATATCTAGCAATTGGGATATTTTTTTTATGATTTTCATTAGGATCTCAAAAGGGTGGTAATGATTTGGGCGTATGTATTTCCATGTATGTGTGTTTTTAAGCCAATTTTCTTTTGCTAGACTTCTGTATTATGTGTCTTGAACTTAACTTGCTGGACTTTAAGGAAGGTGTACCCTCTTTTTGTGAAGGTCCCTAAGTCGTAACTGTTGTCTAACCTCCTTTGTCTTAAGCAATTCAACAGATTTTGTCGAGTGTCATTCGATTCGTGTTCTTCCCTTGAGTGTCATAGGTACATATAATCATTGGGGGTGTTTTTATGGTTCCGTACCTCATAGGAAAAAAACGTTACACTTCTAGGATCCCTTTGTTGTCCGTCTGTCTGTCAAGACCCTTTTATTAATAAGTGTTATTATTTCAGATGGTCAAAAACCTTCAAGTGATGTTAAATCTTCCTAAACACAATCAATTCGTTATTGACGAACTGAAAAGTGCCATGGGTAAGTAATTATATATTTTAGTATTAAAATGTAAGGACGCCATGACACTTAAGTTTTAGGTTATGTTGTATAGTTTTGTGAGAAAGTAAATTTACGAAAATATTAAACAAAAAATCGTAAAACGTCTGTTTTTAGAACTTGTATGGACAACGGGAACTCGTGTTTTATTTTTGTTATAAAAAAATTCCAACGATCGTGATCAACGATGTTTTTTTATTTTTTTGTATATAAACGTCTTATATACTATATAGGTGTGATGCAGCATCACGATGCCATCACCGGCACAGAGAAGCAACACGTGGCTCACGATTATGAGAGAATATTGAACAATGCTCTTGAAGACGTCATGATTGTACCTAACCAGGCTTACAAGTAAGTAGTAGGTTTTTTATTAATTTACTAATTTTTTAACCATTCCAACTAAAATTGGATTGTCTGTTTGTAATATTGTTATAACCAAAATAATATTTCTTTAAAATTTTGTCTGTCTGTCTGTTTGTTCCGGCTAAGCTCTGAAATGGCTGAACCGATTTTGACGGGACTTATATTGTCAGGTAGCTTATGTAATAAAAAGTAACTTAGGATACTTATTTTAGAAAAAAAAAGTAATTTTGCAATGTCCTAGTACTGTCCAGTACCGGACAGCTCAAAGTCAGAATTTCACGCGGACGAAGATAATATTTTTTTTTCTCATTATCAAAAATAATATTTAAAAAGATATTTTATTATTTAAACGCATTCCAACACTTTTAATATAATTAAAAGCACTAAGAAGTACCAAATCACTTTACAAGGAGTAAGGCATTTTTTGTAAGCTCACTGCGAACCGCCCTGACTGTACATTCAAAGTAAACACTTCCCACTCTTTCTTTTTTAAAGCATTTTTAATAACAAGAATATTATGACACGGGTTTCATGACATCATCAGCTCACTATACGTCCCCACTGAGAGGCTCGGAGCCTACCCTAAGTTAAGGGTGATTAGGCGATAGTCAACCATGCTGACCAAGTGCGGGTTGACTTCACACATATCTTTGAATTTCTCTTAGATATGTGCAGCATCACGATGTTTTCCTTTACCGTAACGTCGGATAAATGTACATATGTAAATCGAAAATGGAAAAACACATTCGATTCGCGGGGGGCGGGATTCGAACCCAGGACCTGCAGATTGCAAGTCAAGTGCTTGACCCCTGAGCCACCGACGCTCCAGATGCGCTATTATTCATATTTAATTTTAACGACAAGATAATATGAAAATGATGGAGAGCTAATTATAGTTAGTCACTAGGAAAGGATGGGAAGTGGATTTGCTAGAAGTAATGTTTAAAAGGAGAAAGATTCTCTTTCTGTGTGCCTCCATCGATTAAAGTTAGGCATCTGCAAAATGATGTCTTAGGCGTTCGTTTCATTATTTTAACGATTTCTATTGGTCGTTTGTTCGTTTGCTACCTTGTGTTTAAAAATGGCCATAACTTTGTCGGAAAATTGTAAAAAGTTTTAAGTGTGTCTATTTGTTTATAGTAAAGTTTTGAAAGCGAAAGGTTATGAAGGACCAGAATTGGAGTACAAAAGATGTCGTCTCAATGAATCTTCATGCAGCATCTCTGAACGGAAAAAAGCTTTTACTGTGAGTAAGAAAATCTTACTATCTTACTAATATTATAAATGCGAATGTTTAGATCAGTGGTTCCCAAACTTGTCTACTGCCCACTTTGAGAATAAATATTTTTTTAGCGCCCCCATATTTTAACATATTTAAAAACCACTATAACTTCAAATTAAATTAATTAATTATTATGACCTATATATGTATATTAACGGAGAATTGTAAAGGAAACTTTTACTATAACCCGCAACTTGAGACCTGCAGCCCACAAGGGGGCGTTATAGCACACTTTGGGATAGACTGGTTAATGTTAGAAGATATCTCCAGAACGGCTGAATGAATCATAACGAATTTGTCATACATATAGAACATAGTCTGGAATCACACATAGACTACTTAATTTTCCTATTTGATTCCGCGTAGAGTCACGGGCGACAGCTAGTCTCTGACATAAAAAGATTTCATACATTTTAAGATAAAAAACGTAAAAAAATTAAAACTAATATTAAAATTTAAAACAGCGCCATCTGTTATTGTAAAAAATCAAACTATTTATTTATACAGGTGACAATATTCAATCCTTTAGCTTGGTCTGTAACAGAACCGATAAGGATACCTGTTGTTGATGGCAGTTATACTATTAAAGGACCAAATGGTAAGTAAATAGATAATCTATATATATAAAAGAAAGTGGTGTTAGTTACACTATTTATAACTCAAGAACTGCTTTACCGATATGCCTGAAAATTGGTGAGGAGGTAGCTTAGAGCCAGGAGACGGACATAGGATACTGTTTATTAATTTTTTATTTCGAATTTATGCCTTGAAGAGCTGCTTTTTATTTAACTTACTAATATTATAAATGCTGAATGTTTAGATGGATGTGATGTGGATGGATGTATGTTTGAAGATATCTCTAGAACGGCTGAACGGATCTCGATTAAATTTGGCATACATATAGAACATAGTATGAAAGAACACATACTAAGTACTAATTAAGTTTTTTTATATATCCACGCGGACGGAGTCGCGGGCGACAGCTAGTAAATATAAAAAAACATGACTAAAATTTGACACACTGTAAAATACATTAATTGACACCTTATATCATATAATCTAAGTCGTTAAAGCTACAATACATTTGAAACACCGTCTTTACCGTCTTTAGAGCTATAAAAAAACATTTTGAATTTCAACAAATAGAGTCAAAATCGCTTAAAACTATCAAACTTACTAGATAACCTACGCTTAATATAAGAAATAAAAGAACTTATATATATTATACCCAAAAACCCCACTGAGGGTTTTAGTCTACCCTAATTGAGAGTATATGATAGTGAATGCTGGTCCAGTACAAGACTTGACACATATGTTTGAGTTTGTCAGATATGTGCAGCATCACGATGTTTTCCTTCACCGTAACAACATAAGATAAATGTACATATGTAAATGTAACACATTCATACATCACGGGATTACAATTCAACTAATGGCACTATGGCCTAATCACATAACTTAGGGTAGGCTCTCAGCCCCTCGGTGGGGACGTATAGTGAGCTGATGATGACATGCTCAACTCCTGACACATTCCTAATGTTTTCAATTTAATTTCCTATTCCAGCTAAAGAAATTCAATATCAAATATTAGATATACCTGAATCAGTCAAAAATATACCAACAAGACAATCTTTAGCGACACACGAATTAATATTCATAGTTAAATTAAAACCATTGAGTTTCCAATCATATCATGTAACTAAAAACGAAAAAACCAAAAGAAACATAAAAACACAGAAGGAAAGAAAAAATGACTTTTATACGAATTTAAATGATTATTGGACGAATTTGAAAACTCCTATCGATATAAAAAATCTAGAAGACAAAGAAAATAGACGAATACAAGATACAATTTGTAATGAAAATCTAGAAATTAAAGATAGAAATCTAGATTTTGATGTACTAAAAAGTTCTAATGATGGTGTTAGTGAAGATATATTAAAATTGGAGCAGATAATAAGAGATGCAAAGAGAAATACGGAGAAAGAACAGAAGAATTTGGCGAAGAAATTAAACTATCCGAGTTTAAATGAAGAAGAGATGCGTATGTTGTCTGATGAACCGACTGTTGTCAATATGTTTGAAGATAAATATATTGAAAATCAGGTAAAAATAACAAAAAAATCTTATCTTACTAATATAAATGCGAGCTTAGATGGATGGATGTTTGTTAGAAGGTAATTCCAGAAAATCAGAACAGATCTTGATGAAATTTGACATAGTCATGGTTAAAAAAGAATTTAAAAAAAAATTAGGCAAAAATTACAAAATTTTTTCGAAAAAATCTTTTTTTTTCACAATGAAAAAACTAGTAAAACTTTTTTTTCTATCATTCTCATTTGTGTAAAGAGTTTTTGCTAATTTTTTTTACTATAAAAAAATTCAGTTTATTTTTTTAGATTTTTTTATATTTTATATTACAATACAAACTAATTAATGTTCCTTTCCAGGCAATGAAACTACGTTTAGACAACAATCTAGACATAATAACACTTTTAGAAAATAAAAAATCATTAAACTTCGCTATAAAATTATATTACTGGTCGGCATGTTTCGGCGACAATACGAACACAACCGAACGATCTTCCGGTGCTTATATTTTCCGTCCAAATATAACAAAACCTATAGAATTATCTATATTACATTCAGAAATAAAACACGGACCACTCGTTTCGGAACTTAGAACTATTTACGAGGGAAATGTAACATCAAACACACGTTTATATACAGATATAGATTTTATCGAAGTAGATTTTACTGTTGGCCCAATACCGATAGACGATAACATTGGAAAAGAATATATAATAAAATATATAACAGATATAAACAATAATGGTATATTTTACACTGATTCTAACGGTAGACAAATGTTAAAAAGGAAATTAAATGAAAGACCACAATTTAATTTGACATTAGCCGAACCAATCGCGGGAAATTACTATCCTGTTACCAACAAAATATATATAGAAGACAGTGACAATCGCCTGTCAGTGCTGACAGATAGATCACAAGGTGGCAGTTCTTTAAATAATGGGGAAATAGAAATTATGCTGCATAGAAGATTGTTACATGACGATGCATTTGGTGTTGGCGAAGCTTTGAATGAGGTTTTAAATAACAAAGGTTTAGCTGTTAGAGGTACACAAAGAATATTAACGAAGAAATCAGATTTATTAGAAAGAAAACGCGTTTTAGAATTTCATTGTAAACCGATAATTTTATTCGCCGATGCGGAAAATTTAAATTTGTCAAATGACCATAGATTTGTCGGTTTATACTCTGTGCCAGATGGCGTGCATTTATTATCTATAGAACCTTGGGGTGATACGTCATTGTTGTTAAGAATTGAAAATTATTTGGAGAAATCGATAAATTCAACGATAGAAGTAAATTTGAGTGATTTGTTTAATTTTATTAAGATAAATACGTTTAAAGAGACGACTTTAGCAGCGAATCAATGGATGGATGAATATGAAAAATTAAATTGGACAACTGATAATGAATCTTTTAATGAATCAAATGAATTTAATAATGATGATGGTTTTAAAGTGAAAATAAAAGCCAAACAAATTCGTACATTTATTATTGAATATGAATATGTATAGATTTATATGAATATTATTGAATTATACAAAATTAAATTTAAATTGTTTTTTTTTTAATCCAACCCGCATATACGAGTTTAAAATAATAACGTGTTAAAAACCACACCATCATATTTTATATACTCTTTGCACACCATATTGTGACTTCAAAGCTCTCAAATCTTAATAGACAATTCTAAATTAATATTTATTATAATTTGCATGACTGACGTAAAGAAAATCATCATCAACCTGCCCTTATCCCTATTGAGGGTCGGCCCTGTATGTACTCCTCCATACATCTCTATCAGCCGTCATATCCGAGTCTACCCCCTTCCTATGCATATCCTCTTTCACACAGTCATTCCATACTTTTTGGTTTTCCTCTACCTTTGTAGCCATCCACATTCAATCTCATTACTTTACATTCTTCAAAAATTTTATATTAAATTTAATTAGAAATTTTCTTTAAAATGAAAAACATCAGATTTTTTTTTACTTTGGCTAGGATATGCCTATTGTGGGTGTTTGAGCTTGTACTAAATCAAAGCCACAGTCAATTACCCCCATTACTGTTAAGGTGCATTTCTACATAAATATTCCCTTCTTTCTTTGTGAAAAAAAGGAATTAGAAATAATTAAACATTTAATTACCCTCCATGTAATGTGGATATAAACATTATGATATCATTATTTTTTAATTCATAATCTAATTCACCAAAAAGTTCCCAATCTGCATCATTTACTAATACCAGTATTCCTGGCCGCACAGAATCACCCTGAAACAGATTAAAAAGTAAAAAAAAAACTTATTTAAAACGAAAAATAAGAAAAACTTATTCACTGGACTTGAAACTTATATACAAACACACCAACTTAGTAAGAAAATAAAAGAAATTGCAGAAATTTTTTTTTAGCATACCTGTAAAAACAACTCTGGTCTTTCTCTTAAAAGGTTATCCTTAATCCAAACTAATAAATGTCTTATTGTCCATTTATTATCTGTAGAATCTGGTAAATAAATATTTAACTGTGGTAACTCAATTTCCCGCTTTTTTATTTTATCAAATAGCAATTCTGCACCACCACCAAATTGCAGTTGCAATTTTAATGCATCAGCCATTTTATCTGAAAAAAATATTTAAGAAAGTCGTAAAAATAATTATAACACGCAGGTAATTCTTAATTATTAGACAATTATAATTTTGCAACAACCAACTTTCTAATTAGCAATATTTAAATTATAAACAAATAAAATTGTCCTCACTTTCTATGTTTCGAATGTGTTTTATCCCATGATAAATTTTATAGTAAAGTACATTGATTTTATAAACATAAACACAACTTTTGATTTGATATGAACAAATAGACGAATGTAATTTAATTCATAACGTTATTATTGTAAGCAAAAACCAATAAGTAAATTTTCAATATTAAGGTATTTTTGTTTCTTTTCGATAATAAGTTCTTTCCTCATACCTTTACATAAAATAATTTAAAACATACAAATTATGTTTTCTGCAACAATTTTTAACTTCTCACAAAGAATTGAGTTAAACTTTCCATAAAATAAAAACTTTTTCGTATGCGCACTTTAAAGAGGTTATATTTTTGTCATCAATGTCAAGTTTTTTTTTAATTTTATGACCTGGTAACATAGACCTTTAGGTCATATCTTATTTGGAAAATGTCAAGTTGTCAACGAAATTGGCAGTCAATTTGACATATTAATAAATGTTGCCATTGTTCATGTTAAATTACTACAAAACCTAATAACATTTAATTCTTTGCAGAAACAAATTGTGATACGGTTTATTAATTCTCTATAAAATTATATTTTGATGTTTTTGACCTTAAAGATACGAAAAGTATTTTTCTTAATTTATATAAAAAATATCTTATTAAAAAGGAAAAAAGGGGAAATGGAAGAAATAAAACATCGTTTTGTGTCAAAATTTTATTAATTTACATTCGATTCTTACAAAATTTTCAACTTAAATATGATCAACTAATTTATATCATTGGTTAAAATTCCAACAAAATTTGGTACAAACGAGAACATAAATTTTATTGCCATTTCGGTGAAATTTTGAATTTTAGTGTTGCCAGCACAATTCATTTAAATTGAAATTTTCATAAGAATTTTGACCTATGACAAAGTAAAACCCGATTTCACTTCCTTTTAGGTGTTCCTATCGATATAGTCCGACAAAATTATCTGACCCGGCAAATATAAGTGACAATGTCACAATATCCTTGTCGTACTACTGTCTTAACTGTCATTATACCTAAATAACATTATTTCTGTCTAAGCTAACTGTGAAATCCCGGTCCCATAACCAGGCCCATAACTGTCGCATAACGAGTTTTATACATTTTTTGACATAACTAACCGGACAAAAACGTCTCAATGACCCAAATAACTTTGTCGGACTACAATCAAATGTGTTTTTATGTGGATTACGATGTATACAACTGCGGATGTTGTTCCACTATAGTCCTGTCAGCGAGACTGGTCAGACGACTCGCGATAAAGAACCTCAGAGTGTCTCTGAGTGGTACAGGGAATGTGGGGGAAGTGACTGCAATTGCAAGCATACGATAACAACCTGACGTCTTCCACCGTATTCTGTACTGTTTGTTTTCTGACTGTAAGAAAAAAAAACGAAAATATGCTATACTACCTTAGAATTAAAATTTAGTGTCATTTGTAACATAATGACACCCTGGAGAAGAATACGAATAAAATGACACCGAGTTACAGCTACTCGAAAAATATAAATTTCCTGTGTGGTAAATTCTACCAAAAATTCCCAAAACTTACCAAAAACTACCAAATCTTTAATTATAACTAAAAGTTACCAAAACTTCACCGATCTTCCAAGTCGTTTTAATAAAAACTACCACAAGTTACTAAAACCTACCGAAAACTACCGACTCACCTTAATCAACCCCAGTCCCCTAAGCATAGTATTAGCTAGCAGCCATGCTGATGCGTGCTGCTGTCCAGCTCGCTTCAACATAATGGGGTACAGGTCCAGCGCCACTTGGTGAGCGAGCTGACTCTCCTCTGACAAACCTGACACGGAGAAGGTGGCTTCCACGTACGCGGTTATCAGATCTGATGGATCTTTGATCACCTAAAAACATGATTAATGTGAACTTTGTAATTATTTTTGGCACAAAACACAATAAAGTCACAAAAAGTACACAAGTTTTTAGTATCCAAGCGACTACAATATCGCAAAGATTCAAATACACGACTAGCGTCGACGATTCAACGCTGTGTCGCGCACTACTCGATACCTGGGACGCTAACAATATTAGATCCAAAGGATTTACTTTGCCTTGCGTACAAAAGTCCCTATGGAAAAGTGTATAAAGCTAATTTTAATAAAAAAATAATTATAAACTAGCTGTCGCCCGCGACTCCGTCCGAGAAATATTAAGGAAAAAAACTTAAGTAATTAGTAGTATATGTGTTCTTCCAGACTATGTTCTACATCTATGTCAAATTTCAGCAAGATCCATGCAGCTGTACTAGAGATACTTTCTTACATACATCCATCCATACATTCTTATTTATATAAATATTTTACCTGTAAATGTGTGTCTATAACATCAGCAGCATTTGTTCCTAGACGAGTCAAATTTTCAATTGTAGGCGATTTCAAAAATATATCCACATCGGTTTTTACTTCTTCTATACCTAAAAATACATAAATAACACAGTCACTAAGGAAAGCCCTTAGTGTTAAATACACCCTGTCCTCAGCGGTATTTCCAAACAGTTACGACTTAGGGGCCTTCAAGAAAAGAGCGTACACCTTCCTTAAAGGCCGGCAACGGATCTGCGGTTCCTCTAGCGTTGCGGATGTCCATGGGGGTCGGATCAAATAATATTAGGCGATTCGTTGCTCGTTTGCCCCCTTCTCCTATAAAAAAACATGAGAAGCACCAATAGCCTAACGGTTAAAAGTAACAGTAGTTACTTTAGTAAATTTAAAGGTGTTGGATTCGAATAATTTCGACTATTATCAACCAATTCCTAAAACAAGACTTAGGCATAAGTTATTTTTTGTAAAGTATGAAAAATTTACATTACAGAACTGCTGTACACAGAGAAGTTAATCATCCCTTAGTAGAGTTATTTAATAAACAGCTATTACTATAGTCGATAAAATTTCATTTAAGTTATAAAACAGTAAGAAATTTTCGCTATGAAAGTAACAAAATAAAATTATTAACATACATTAAAAAAAACTACCAAAAGCTACCAATTTTTAGTAAATACAACTCAATACACATAATTAAATCCAGTCTCTAGAAAAATCTGTAATTTTGAAGTTACATAAGTTTACATAGGAACCGTAATAACTTACCAGAGCTATCCAAATTAATTTCTCTACTTAATTCCACAATAGTATTTATATGCTGTGCATCTTCAGGTGCGCTGTCTTCCGATTCCTCTTCATCATCTGAACCTTCAGATGATTGACTTCCTGATTCTGAACCTGACACAACTGGAATAGAAACATCAGCTCACTATATGTCCTCACTGAGGGTCTCTGTACCTCCCCTAAGTGAGAGTATGTGATAGTGAATGCTGGTGCAGTGCAAGACTTGACACATATGTTTGAGTTTGTCAGATATGTGCAGCATCACGATGTTTTCCTTCACCGTAACAACATAGGATAAATGTACATATGTAAATGTAACACATTCATACATCACGGGATTGCAAGTCAACGTACAGAAATAGAATATTTCCTCCTTTCTTATTAGTCCTCTCCTCCGACAAATTTTCCCTTCCCTATCTTTCCCTATATGAAAAGGGGACCTAAGGCACAGCATAGGTTGGAGGAAGCAACCGCTTCAATTCGCCAAAATAGCGAATTGACTGTTGCTCAATTTCATTTGCAGATGGGTTTAACCTTAAATCGACAGAGTAGGAGACAGAAATGCGATATTTCCCCTTCTTATGCATCCTTACTTTACTTTAGAAGGGAAAGAGGAGTAAAATGTGACCTGATGGATAGACTACGTGTACAGAGGAAGGACATTACCTCTGTATGTCCCCTACCCTGTCTCTGCTGTATATACTTACATTCATGATCGCTGCAGTCCCCATCACTGAGTTCAGCGGAGGGACCCAATTTGTCTTTCATTGTCTTCTTATTTGTTGAATCACCGAGACTGTTACCTAAAAAGTTTGTATGTGAATTACAGTTATGGTAGAATTTGGTAAGAAATGGTAGAAAATGGTAGAAGTTGGTAGAAACTTATGACATGTTTAGATAAGAAAAAAATTACAAAATTTGTAAAAAATTATAGAAGAAACCTAGAGATACAGAAAAATACTTAATTGGTAAGAATCAGTAGAAAATGGTAGAAATTTAAGACTACTTAAATATCAAAAAGTTACAAAATTGGTAAAAATCGATAGAAATTTGGGACATCTTTTTTTCACAACAAATTTTTCAAAATCGGTAGATATTGGCAGTATATTTACCCGCCAGTACAACTCTGGACAGTCTGTCTGTAGCATCAGGTAACGCTGTAACCGCCTCCACCACCTCCATACAAGCTTCACGACCTATTTCATTGAAACTTAGGTCTACAGACTGAAAATATAATAAAAAAAGTTAATTTCCCAATCAACATGTCACGTCATTTCCTAAGCCTGAGTTCTAAATGAAAATTAGTAAAGAAAACATCTGTGGCTCAGGGGTTAAGCAGTTCACCGAGACGGGACAATTCCAGTGAAGATGTTAAAGCGGGCTCTACCACTGTAAAGATTATATAAAACTCACCTCCAATAACATTGAATTGTCTTTGAAAGCCTTAGCGAGTGCTTTAGCACCTTTACTCTTCAGCAAACAATCACCAAAGTTTATTGATTTCAACTTTTTTAAACTGTAAAATAAAAAAAATATTGAATGTAAGAAATTAAAAAAAAAACTTAAAAAGTAACCAATGTGTTCTTCAAGACTATGTTCTATATGTATGACAAATTTCATCAAGATTCATACAATTGTTCTGGAGATATCTTCTAACATACATCTAAACATTCGCATTTATAATATTTGTAAGACTAGTTGTCGCTTGCGATTCCGTCCGGACGGAATTAAAAAAAAACTTAATTAGTAACCTACGAGTTCTTAAAGACTATGTTCTACATGTATGACAAATCAAGATCCTTTCACTTCCGGAGATACCTTCAAACATCCATCCATCCATCTAAACATTCGCATTTATAATATTAAGCATGATTAATATTAAAAAAGTCTAATTTAGGATTTGGTAATAAATGGTAGTAATCGGTAGAAAACGGTAGAAAGTGGTAGTAAACGGTAAAAAATATTACTTACCCGGGTAAAACATTCGCGATCGCCTTAGCACCTTTAGAGCTGATTGTATTATCGTTCAAATTCAAACAGCTTAAATTAGGATTATGTTTGAACGCTTCGGAGAGTGCTGACACACCTTTATGGTATATACCATTTTGTGGCATCGCTATCTCTTCTAATGTACCCATATCCTGGAAAAAAAAGTATAGAACTAATTTTGTATGAGAATTAATTTTGTACTTAATGGACGTGATAGTGTCGGAGTGTCGAGAATCAAATCTTGTTATAAAATTAATAAGTACTATAATTTAGTTATACTATTACATCTGGTATTTATTGCAGACTAGGTGTAACCCGCGACTCTGTCCGCGCGGAAATAAAAAGTAAACTTAATAAGTAACCTATGTTCTTCCAGACTATGTTCTACATCAGTGGTTCCCAAACTTGTCAACTGCCCAATATGAGAATAAATATTTTTTTACCGCCCCCATATTTTCACATATTTAAAAACCACTATAACTTCAAATTAAATTAATTAATTATTAACTAAACTAACTATTAACGAAACTTTTACTATAACCCGCAACTTGACACTTTTGGAAAGATTGTTCTACATCTATGTTAAATTTTAACATAATCCATTCATCTGTTCCGGAGATATCTTCAAACATCCATCCATCCAAACATTCGCTTTTATAATATTAGTAAGATTCATAAGTGGTACTCAACCCATATCTAGTGAATTAACAAACTAATCTATCTTAAATAGACACACTGTACTTACTTGAAAAACTCTAGCCAGGGCAGTAGCACCATCATTTTCCAGTCTATTCCTGCCAGCTATAAACACTTTCAGTTTGCGAGGACTAGCTGAGAGAGCTTCTGCCAGAATTCTACCTCCTTTTATTCCTAGACCATTGTTGTTTAAACGGAGTTCCTGGAATATTATAATAGCTTTGTACATTAGTGGCTCAGCATGTCCTGTGTTGTAATCCCATCATGTATGAATGTGTTACATTTACATATGTACATTTATCCTATGTTGTTACGGTGAAGGAAAACATCGTGATGCTGCACATATCTGACAAACTCAAACATATGTGTCAAGTCTTGCACTGGAACAGCATTCACTATCACATACTCTCACTTAGGGTAGACTCCGAGACCTTCAGTGGGAAGCTATAGTGACTCTGTCTGTGCAAAATTAAAAAAAAAACTTAGTAGTCTATGTGTTCTTCCAGATTATGTTCTACATCTATGCCAAATTTCTGCAAGATCCGTTCAGCCATTCTGGAGATAACTTCAAACAAACATTTATATATATATATATATATATATATATATATAAGTGTAAACATTTATATATATATTATAAATGCAAAGGTATATATATATATATATACCTTTGCATTTGTAATATTACTAAACCTTTTAATGTAACAAACCTGCAACTGAGAGCAAACATCACTTTGTAGTAACTTAGCTAGTCCTTGTACTCCAATAGGTCCAAATGCATTGTCACTTAGCTCCAACACGGAGAGACGGGCACCTGCTGTTATCATACCTTCTCCGAGAGCACTCTGATGAAAAGAAAATACATTTTACACCGTTTTATCCTATGATGTTACAGTGAAGGAAAACTTCGTGATGTTGCACATATCTGAGAAAGTCAAAGATATAAAATCAACCCGCACTGGACCAGCATACATCATCACCTAGTCTAACTTAGAGTAGCCTCTGAGACCGTCATTGGGGATGTATAGCTGACGATTAGTCTCCTGAAGATTGTGTCAACCACACATGTGGATAGTTACTATATATTCATATTAAAGTCAACAATTTTAGTGTTAAATCCACAAAAATTTACAAAGGTGGTATCAAATTAGTCCGCTTTCATCTGTTGAGTATTCTAAGCTCTACTTCTCAATAGGATAGTGCTTGAGTACTAGTTATCATAAAAAAACTTACCAAAGCAGGAGGAATTTCAGTTTTCATCCTACCAGTAAACATATCAGAGAACCTGGCTATCTTCAACTCCGGATGATGCTCTAATGCTTTAGCGATGGCCTGCGCAGCGGCAACACCAAGAGTGTTACCGGTTAATGTTAGATATTGTAAATTAGGGCATGCATTGATTGCATCGATAATTGGTTGTGCTGAAAAAGACAGTTGACAGGTAATTCCCAAAGCGGGTTGCAGGATGACCTTGAACTATGGAGATATTTGAAAAGAACTATAATACTGTAGAATTCAACTGCAATGAACCTTGTCATACGTGTTGTTCTCAAACAGAATGATACGTATGATTACAACTATACTGTAATTGTTCGGTTTTACGTACGGTACGGTAAAAATATATGTCGTTTTTGAAAGAATTTCAAAGTATCAATATTTTGAAATTCTTTCAAAAACGACATCAAATATGCAAGTAGTTTTGAAGCAAAATAAGTGGTTTTAAGATTAAAACATATTATTAACTGAATAAGGTTATGTTTGGAATAAACAAACATTATAACGTAGTTTAAAGATAAATGTTTGATTTAATGTAACAGATGTAAATAATATTTAACAAATTTCATTATTTTAATAATAACTATCGTAAAATAACACTCTCCTACCATCTTTTTCTGTGTCCAATTTCAATGATTTTCCGGAAAAATCCACACCAGTTTCCAGCTTACTGGTATCTGTGAGCGCTGAATTTATAGAATTAAAATCGAACGTAGCCATTTTTTACGCACAATAATAAATTATATTCGATTAATATTGTAAACCACTGCAAAGTTTATAATAATAGAAAACATAAAATGCTGAAAACATGAGCAACGAACTTTTTTTAATTTGTCAATTTCAAACTTCTAATCGGCTTGTCAAGTTGTATTGCCATATACAAAATAATTTTTTCGTTCAGAACTCAGAAATTTTTTATCAGCAGTTTTCAGTTTTTATTTTTCATTTTTAAATTAAAATCCCCTTTACCTTAATCCACCTTTATCCCTCTGGCAAATCATTTAACGATGAGAAACAAGTAAACGGTAATGAAATAAGGAAAATATGATATATTTTACTCAACTGTTAAGTATGGTGATGTTTTTGTATAGATGTTTCGGCGGTGAAAACACGATTTAACAATAACATGAAGAAAAGGAAAATTAACTTTTATTGCGTGGCTATTAAAGCAAAACAATAGGAAGTTAAACTTATCACTGTAATTAAAATTGAAAACAATGGATTTATCACGACATTTTATTTATTAAATTGAATTTTTTACAGTATAGCCAATTATATCGTTACATATAATGTCAATTTACATATCATGACACCTTGCTAAAAGCAAAAATAAACACAAGAACGTCTAATCTTGCTTTTTTTTTAATCTTATCATATTCTTATCAGTTAAAATTTAGTTTTCGAACGTATCCGCCAGTATCATTATCAAGCGTGGTGAAGTGGTGAATGAATTTTGTGTCATGTCAACTTTTTTTATAATTTACATTTTATATGTATTGCGACTAATTGTTTGTTAAATCAACATATCCATAAATATAATATATTTCACCGGTCTATCATTTCATATAGTGTGGCTACGTGACTGAGAGGCTGAACGTTATGGCGGGTTTGTATTTTTTTAATTCTCGAAATGGCTTATATTTCTATATGGCCTGATATTCTTAGAGATTCTTACTATTACGGTTATGTAGTTTTTATCAGTATTAATTAAATTATTTTCTTAAAGCATTTTTTTAAATGTACCTAAAGATGTAGAGTTTTAAATAAATTTGCCAAAAAATATTACGTCTAACCTTTGATCACTTTATAAGTGTTGAATAAATTACTAATGTTCGTAAAGCACCTATGAAGGTCTGTGACTATGATTTTTTTTAAATTCGGTAGGCTAAGGTCAACGTAAACTGTCGTTCAGTTTCACAACTAATTTATTCGTGAATTTTAAATAGTTTTACGTAAGAACGTGTAATAATTATTATTCAATAACAGATAAGAATATTTCATCATATAAACAATTTTAATTACCTTTTTGATATTGATGGCCATATTATTTCAGATTAAAAAGCACCCCAACAGATAGATTTTATGTTTATATTATTATTATAAATATAGAAATATTATATGACTGATAAGTAGCTATTAATTATCTAATAAAAATAGAAAATAAATAATTTTATGATCGATTTTTTTTAATAGAAAACGAAACATATAAAAACTTTTTACTGAAAGAAATGAAAAAAAAAATGATAAAGACAGTTTTTTTTCGTATATTTACACTTAAATGTCAAATTGATAACAAAATGTCTAGATATGTGGAGGAAATTGCAGTTTTTTCCTTTAAAAAGATACATATTAAATAAAAAGTTATTAAAAATCAATTCCATAGAATTATTAATTTTAAGACAGATAAGAAAAGGTTAGGTTTTGTCATTTTTTATCAAACATAAACTAGATACAAACTATATAGATTTGATTTCATTTATTACTAGTTGACAAATGCGACTCCATTCACGCAGAATAAAAGAACTCAATTAGTAACCTATGTTTTCTACGTCTATACCAGATTTTGTTCATTTATAATATTAGTAAGATTTTCTATTTTTTTTTAACTAGTAACAAAATTATATTATGTTTTCAGCCACAAGCAACCCTTACAATAAATATCTTAAGGATATAAATATCAATGGGAAAACATTCAAATATTATGACTTAAATGCATTTGGCAGTAAATATGGTGAGTTAACATAGATTATATACAACTAGCTATCGCCCGTGACTCCGTCCGCGCGGAATTAAGTACTCTATTTATTCTCTCAGACTATGTTCTACATCTATATCAAATTTAATTGAAATCTGTTCAGCCGTTCTGGAGATACATTCTAATAAACATCCATCCATCCAGACATTCGCATTTATAATATTAGTTAGGTCATCATCAACCTGCCCTTATCCCTATCGAGAGTCGGCACAGTACGTACTCCTCCATACATCTCTATCAGCTGTCATATCCGAGTCTACCCCCTTCTTACGCATATCCTCTTTCACACCGTCATTCCATACTTTTTTTGGTCTTCCCCTACCCTTGTAGCCATCCACATTCAATCTCATTACTTTTTTGCTTATATCATCATCCTCATCATCCCTCCTTATAACATGTCCAAACATTATAATATTAGGTAAACACTATTTTTAAATTTAAAAAACAAATCTTTTTGACTGAACCCTTCAGACATTTAGGGGAAATATTCTCTTTCTGTGTGTCCCCTCTTTCTTGGAATAGAGATTTGAGGAACTCGGATTAGAGAGAAACCTTTATATGCAATATATAACCTTAGACTTGCTTATTCGGGTTTAATGTATACAGGGTGTCCCAAAAGGTTACGTACATAGGAAGGGGGATGATTGGGGTGGTCACAAGGGTCACCAGAAAAATAAAATAAAAATTCCCCTCTGAGTATTAAAAAAAATAAAAGGCATTTTTTAAAAACTTAGAAATTTTACACCTTCTGGGGTAATACCTACCTACGGTGCGTTAGACCGCCGGGCATAATTGGGCCAGAGTCCTGAGCGATGGCACCACCTGGTCATAGCTTGACGCTGTCACTGTCTCTACCTTTGTCGGTTACAAAAAAATATAAAGAAATCCTTTAATGACGTCATAACTGTGTTTTTACAGATCGTTTGCCGTACAGCATCAGGGTATTATTGGAGTCATGTGTGAGGAATTGTGATAATTTCCAAGTACTGGAGAAGGATGTTCAGAATGTACTCGATTGGGAGACAAATCAGAAAGTTGAGGGCGGTGTGGAAATCGCCTTTAAGCCTGCAAGAGTTATTCTTCAGGTTTGTATTGATGACTCCCATATGAGGGCTCTAGAACGCCTTAAATTAGCCAGCTCTAGTCATGGTAAATGTATATCAAATTCGTCGTGACCCCACATTGGTGTCCCCGTAATTCTATATTAAATTTACCATCACGCAACAAACGCGCTAGTTGTGGAATCGTGTAACTAAATTCACTGTGCCCCCACGATAAATCTTAAATTTACCGTGCCCCCACAGTGGTGTCACTATATATATATTTTCACCAGGACCTTACAGGGGTGCCTGCAGTAGTAGACTTCGCAGCCATGAGGGATGCTGTGAAGGATCTAGGTGGTGATCCTGATAAAATCAACCCCATCTGTCCAGCGGATTTGGTGATTGACCATTCAGTTCAAGTTGATTTTGCTAGAACGTAAGTATTATGTTACAGTCGAATTTAGATGAGCGAGAGGCTAAGGTACCTCGATACTTTTCTCGCTTAAAGAGGATTCTCTTACAGAAGTTTCTCGCTTATGGAGTCAACAATGACTCGCTTATGGAGCGAATAATGACTCGCTTATAGATGTTTCTCGCTTAGACTAGTTTCTAGCTTATGGAGCGGACAGTGATTTTCGCTTATAAAAGTTTCTCGTTTATGGAGCGGGCAATGACTCTCGCTTTAAGACTAGTTTCTCACTTATGGAGTCAACAATGTCTCGCTTATAAAGGTTTCTCGCTTATGGAGCGGACAATGACTCCCTTTTAGACGTTTCTCGCTTATGGAGTCAATAATGATTCACGCTAAGAGGTTTCTCGCTCGAGGTTCGATTCTATTTGTGAAATTGTGATTTATATTACAATTATTTTTTACTAATTTGTTTTTTTTGCAGACCTGATGCTTTAAATAAAAACCAAGAATTAGAATTTCAGAGGAACAAGGAGAGATTTCAATTTTTAAAGGTATTTAAATTATTATTTAGTCTTTAATTTAAAAAAAAATACCAAAATGGCAATTTTTTTTAATTTACTCGAGTTTATAGCTTGTATTGGTATTTCACATATAGAACATATAGAAGCCTATAAGTTCTGGAGAATTATGACTGAGAAATTAACTATGAGAGTGTATATTATTATTACTGAACTAGCTGTCGCCGGACATTTCGTCCGTTTATTTTAATAAAAAAACTTGAACATAATTAAAAAATTGATTAGTAGTCTATGTGTTCTTCCAGACTATGTTCTATATGTATGACAAATTTCATCAAGATCTGTTCAGCTGTACTGGAGATATCTTCTAACATACATCTAAACATAATTGTAGGGCGCGACTCTGTCCGCGCGGAATTTTAAAAAAAATAGTAGTCTATGTGTTCTTCCTGACTGTGTTCTATATGTATGACAAATTTCAACAAGATCCATGCATTCGCATTTATGATATTAGTAAGATGTTGTATTTATTCCAGTGGGGTGCCCAAGCGTTTGATAATATGTTGATTGTTCCTCCTGGATCTGGAATTGTACATCAAGTAAGTTATATGACTTATTGTCGTCTCTTTCATTCTCTAGGACAATACCAGAGACAGCAAGTTTTGTTTTTTATATTATTAAGTGGCAAACGAACAAGCGACCACCTGAATACGGCGAAATAGCGGAACTAAAATAGGGGTCTCATGGGGTCAGATCATCATCAGCACTCTCTCGGAGTCTATAAGTGAGAGTATGTGATAGTGATTGCTTGTCCAGTGCAAGACTTGACACATATGTTTGTGTTTGTCAGATATGTGCAGCATCACGATGTTTTCCTTCACCGTAACAACATAGGATAAATGTACATATGTAAATGTAACACATTCATACATCACGGGATAACAAATTGCGTATTTTGTAGGTTAATTTGGAATATTTAGCAAGAGTGGTGTTCACCAATGATGTGTTACATCCAGATTCAGTAGTAGGAACGGACAGTCATACAACAATGATTAATGGTCTAGGGGTAGTCGG